GCATTTCATCTTCTATATTTTCACCTCATCCTCATATACCGTGGCGGGTCTGCTTTGCAGCTGGTCATTAGCGGGCGCAAGGGTTTCCGGGTGGCTTTTTTACTATGGTTTTTTGTCTCTTCTTTTTCTATCATGGCATAGTCCCACCTTTTCATTTTCCCTCCATCTCTTCGGCCTAAACCCCGATTTGTTTTTGCGTGCTTTTCTTTATCTCATTTGGTGGCATTTCTCCCCCGTTTGTATGTGGGGGGCTATTTTGCCGGTGGTTGTCTGGATTGAAGTGTCATTTCACCTCATATCTCATATGTTGGAGCTTTTCTTTGGGTCATCGATATAGACTTTTTTTTTCTCTCTTCATTCCCCTTTATTCTGATGGACAGTTTATGTGTTATTTCGTCAATACATGATACCCTTCTTATCTCTGTCGTTTCTATGTCATTACCACGATGAAACTCCTGCATGCGGGAAAGATATGGACTAGCTCAATGACGAAGATAGAATAATAACCGAATGGTTGCTATAACATGTTGCAATCATGAATTGGAGTGATTTCGACTACCGTGTTCTATTTCTCTGCTCCTGGGCTACGATCTTATCTCCTCTTGGTCTTCTCCAAGACACGTGCCTTATTTATGCTGGAAATGCATACTTCTCTTGTACGTATTGCACAATATCTGCATTGCAGTGTATATCTATCTTTTTTTTTAGAATGTCTCGGCCTTCTCCCCAGAGTTCTTATTTGTCTAGCTTCAATGTACTGCAAGCGTCCTACCTGGAGATACAAGATACATTGAGTTTTCTGTTTCCTGCGTGCGGAAGTTTACCTATGTAGGTACATGTACGGTGAACCCTTGCTTTGCCAAAGGCTAATTGTAGGTCACACAATAGTACAACAGTAGCACGAAGTACTCCGTACGAAGAATCGTATTCTTGCTTGCATCGAATGGTTGTGGCTAAGCTGAGGTGAAGCTGGGACTAAGTGATGCATAATAGCTCACATGCAAAGAAGTGATCAACACGTCAGCACCTTGACTTGTTCTAGAGACTCTATTGGTTTGGAAACCTTCCTATTACCAAACCGAAAACCCGCACAAAAGTCGAGTCGGGCTATTGGTTCACCGAGAGAAGCCAATCAAATCGATACTCGCCGTGAGGAGCATTGCGGCTGCGAGGTCAATTTATGTCGCTGGATACACGAACATAAAAGTCAATTCACTCTGGACTCGAGACCATCTGAGTTTGTGATAACAAATTTTTTGATATAGATAGGCAGATAGATAATAAACAGATAGAAAACCGCGAGAAGTTTTGATAACAAATAGCCGGCATTGATTTGTAGATCAATGACCTCACGAATCCGACTTGATAGGACACTTGTATGAAGATAGAAAAAGAAGAGATTGACAAGATAACCAGAGCATTCGGATTGTCATCTTTGATTTTCTCTTTGCGTGATCTACTGATGGAGTCGCGTCAGTATTGATATCCCGGATTGCACCAATAATCTGATCATTGCCATGTCTGTGCGAGATGCAATCAGAAATCTCGAAGATCAGTCACATCAGAGATATAGTCGTCTTTATCTCACACAAGTGTTGACATCAAAAGACGCAGGAGATAAGGGTCCATTGTCCATTTACGACATAGCAATTGACGCCCCGGGATCCGCATTGGAGGATCCCCCGGAGATCCGATGGGAAGGAAGACTGGGGTTGAAATCTGGAGATAGCAGAGTCGCAGTATGATGGCGGTGTAGGTGATAGATCCAATGATAACGCATCATTCATTCCTTTCGGGTTTCCAAGGTTCGGGTCTGTGTCAGGCAGGGGTCTTATCTCTCTCTCTGCACGTTGAATTTTCGTTGGAGATACCTAGTGTTCTCCCTGTTGGCTGCGATAGTTATCAGTGAGCACATTGTTTGGCCCCTTAGGTAGCGTCACGTCTTATCGAGACGGTTTTGGTGGATAACCACACGGCATGGCGTCAATATTCTTGGGTTGCTGAGTACAACGTATATATAGTGCACTGTCCCTGGTGTTTCCTTTTGACTTCGGCTTCACTTCGGTGTGAATTCGGCCAACTCGGCCAAATATATCAAATATGTCAACCATGTCAACTCGATTCACCCAAAAGGGAACCCATGTTTGGTTTCGCTACGTATGAGCAGTGTCGGTTTCCTGTCTCCACGCTCTTCGCCCCTAGGCAAACGCTTCTTCATATGGAATCAGTCGAATGCCTCGACCTTCTAAAGATTTTCTCGCGTAACCGCAAGAACCGCACAGAAAAAAAAAAAAAAACACCCTGCAACCCCTCACTGTACTCCGTACTGTGGGAGAAGACCATGACCAAAGTACCAGTCAGATTGGCGTCGCGGGCTGAATGTGCAGGACGCCACGGCCCACCTCTCCTGTGCCTCGATGACAATAATTGCCCAGTGCTTTTTCCTCCCCGCGACATACACCTTCGGGTTGGTCCGGGTGCCTGAGACAGACAGTGATTCCCACTCACATCCCTGATCAAAAATGGAGACAATATGATTAGACACACGTATGACCTTTAGGTCATCATGTACAGAGTACTTTATGCTAACAGAGATAAGGTCCAAAGTTCCACCGATCTGCATTCTATATCAGGATGACCATGGTTAATTACATTCTAATTACATTCCTATCAGCACTTCTTATCTCGGATTCCCCGACTTGCGGTGGGTCGTGGGGCCAAAAAATTACAGTATCTACTCCATGACATATTGGAGCTGATTACTCCCAGGGCATCATTGGATGGGAAAACACCATTTAGGCCTCGCGTGCCTGTTCCGTATCCCGATCCGGGTCCCCGTCCCCACATGAGTCGACCATGCTCCCGGGGACGTTTGATATCAAAATGACACGGAATCCGATCGACTCTTGAATCATGAGGATAGCGCCCGGAGTTTTGCCTTAACCCCGCCTTAGTGCGGTGGCAAATTGATGAACAGAGAAGGGGAAAATAGCAGGGATATTACCCGGTACGGGAGTCCACCTCCAGATCCCCCGCGAAGGCGGGCAGATGCCAACGAAGAACGTTGATTTGCGAAGTTGTCGGTTGCCTTTTTACCTGGTACTTTCCGTCGTTTGGGGCGAAGATCGGGAAAATTCCGTGACAGGCCGTCCTGTATATCTCCTCCATACACGGGTGGTACCGTTTTCGGGTAATATAGGGATCTCTTTTTGAGCCTCTCGGTGAGTCTTCACTCCGTTGCAGCGAGGTGAGAATGATTGCTGGGTCTATATTCTATATGATCGCCTATCATTGAATATATGCGATATATGACAGAATCTACTAAAGCTGTAAAGCTGTGAAAAACAAACCAATTCCCTTCTTTTTCCCTCGGAAAAAAAAACAAAGCGAAAAAGAAGACCCGTAGAACGTTCCTTATCTTTGAGGATCCATCCGTTGCTCCGTTTGCTATCATTCCGCCCCGCTGCGCTAAGAGCATGGACTATAAACTTCGATATCAACACATCTGATTGTGCTTTTTCTCCAAGTGATTTCTTCACGACTAGGCCGCGGAGAGTCCCCTCAATGGTCTGAAATATCTCAGAATATAAGAGATTGAGATCTTGAGACAAGATGGATGCATTTGTTCGGTTTTATCCCACGAGACCTCCTTGACTGGACCGGGAGATATACTCCACCATTAACGAACAGTACCCACTTGGCATGCATCTGGACTCTCTCCGGGGACGCTAAGGAACATGATGTTTTGGGAGTGCCATGTTCTGTCTTCTCAAGCTCGTGCGATTGTCTCCCACTAGCCATAGGGATTGATAGTACCTGCGTTTAGACCGGCCCCGACTCACAGGAGCGGGCGAGGTACATTAGTTTCAATTTAGTACGGAGCTTGCGACCACTCGGGCCGATGATTATTTGAGATGCCGGTCACATCTATACTCGAAAAACAATACCTATGTCAGACGATATGATATATTTTAAACAAAAAAAAACACAGGGGCCGTGCGAGTATGCAAAGAAAGAAAAGATGACCTTCTAGATCCGATGATACTGAAGTATTCCCTTGACACAAGTTGATTGGAGGGGGAAAAAGGTCCAAATGGTCTTATATATATAGTGTGTATGAAAATAAAGGGGAAAAAAGTACATAGTAATCAGCTTTCAAGAAGACGGGAGTGGCACATCCATATTGGATAAATCATGGAATCGAGCGAAGCGCCGTAAATCGGTCATTTCCCCGTGACAACAGTAATACTGGTACGTCAAGTTACATATAGATTACATAGATTACAAGTACTCACTGTTCAGCGTCACTCTGGGCCTTTAGACATCATATTATTCTTCTTTCCCTCTCTTTCTTGGCTTTATTTCTGTTCTTTTGTTCTATCTACAACCCCCGGAGTACATCTTTGATTTTAACTTATACTTCTTGGTTATTGTCATTGCGTGGTCGGCAGTAAACTGCCCTCCGTTTCCCCGTCTTCCCACACATTTCCCTTCTCTCATTCCTCTCCGTCTTTCATCTTTCATATCTCTGCCACTTTATTCTCGTCTTTCCTTTTGTCATTCTCGGGAGGATTTCCTCTTCCATCAAAAGATAGATCTTCTCGGGGCATGAGCGTCTGGAGGGTCTAGCCCCCCCCTCCACGACAAATCAGGAAATCCCAAGAGGCGTCGAGGCTGGGTGGTGGTCTCCAGATCCATCGTGCGTTCGTCTCATCCCAGTCGTCAGCTTAATTATCTTATTATCATATATTATTATCATAAGATCCGTTCCGTGCTAATAGGCGTTTTGCGTTGACAGACCCTGGTCGTTGGCTGAATCCTGCCAATCGTCTCTCGCTTGGCTGCATTCGATCAACTTCCGGCAAGGGTCTCGTTTACGGCGGGTACGGAGGAATTTCAATCCAACCCACCTTTTTTGCCATTCATCCCCTCCCCTCCCCGCGGTCGCCTCTATTTGAATTACCTCTCCCCTCTCATTGAAACCCTCTCCATCGGAGATTATGGAGGGGATACATCATGGAGGGCACGGGGGAGCCCGGCCATCCCAGCCTATGGCCTTCCCCGACTTCGACGCCGATTCTCATATGATGTCCGACGACTTCTCCTTTGACACTCCATTCAGTCCCTCTGGTTCCTCCAACGCCAATGATGGTGTCCTCGGCAATTCCATCTTTCCGGAATGGACAAGCGGCGCATCCCGTGGCGACAACCCTGATGAGATGCAAAGGAAAGATCCGCTGGCCGCTCAGATTTGGAAACTCTATACCAGGACAAAGTCTCAGTTGCCCAACCAAGAGCGCATGGAGAATCTGACATGGCGAATGATGGCCATGAATCTCAAGCGCAAGGAACGGGAGCAGCAGGCTCGGTAAGAAACACTCCTGCGAATCTTGAAGCACATGGCTGGTATACTGATGTCCGAACAGTGCCTCGGAAACTCTAAGCTCGACACCGAGCGGCATCGCGCAGATGCACTTGTCCGACCAAGTATCGCCCGCTGGCCCCGATCTTTCCCACGATATGAACCATGATGCCACTTCGGATCCAATGAATCTGGATGACTTTATTGTTCCCTTTGATTCGCCCGCCGAACACTCCTCGCATCCTTCTCTTGATCGACACTTCACAGCAACACCCACTGGATCAATTCCTATTAAATCGCGCAAGGACCATGCGATGATGGATTCGTCGACCGCCGCCTCATTCCCCCACCAACCCCAGGATCAGCGAACAAACTCCGAGTTTGGATACGTTGCCCGTCGGGTCCGCAAAACGAGCGTCGACGAGCGACAGTTCTTCGCCGGTCTCTCTGTTCCTACCCGCAAGCGCCCTGCCGACGCCTCACCCCAGGTTCCCCCGGTGTCTAACGCCATGATGGCGCAGCATTCGGAACTGTCAGCGGTACTGCCAGATTACTCGCTCGATCATCCACCTTCTGCCTTCGCTCTTCCCGGTAATGGCACGGTGGGCCCGCGCAGGCCTCAACACCATCACACGCACTCTAACATTCCCTACGGGTTGGATACGTATGGCATCAGCGAAGATCACGGGCTCAATTCGGCCGGGCCTTATCAGCAAAATTTCCATTTTTCGCCGTCAGATTCTCCAATGACTGCAGGAAATCCTTTCTCGAGTCTATATGCCCAGACGCCGCTCGCCTCGTCGCTTAACTCAACCGAGTTCTTCTCACCCCCGCCTTCTGGCTATCAGTCCACTGTGTCGACCCCGCAACCGATTTATGAAGGGGAGCAGTCGATATTCTTTTCTGATGCGCCCTCCGCTGAATCCTCCCAGCGCCGCATTCCTAATTATATCCAGCAGCGTCAGTCGAACCTGTCTGCATCCCTGCAGCCACGTTATATGTACAACATGTCCAACGGCGAATCTCACCCAGGGAGCGCAGTTACAGGGCCACCAACCACTCATGTATCTGGATTTTCGGTGCCACAACCGCAGCATATCAACCCGTCACAGGTGCTTGGCCATGGCGAGTTCTCCACGACCGCGCCTGCCAGCAGCATGTTTACCTTTGGTGGAGATTCAGACAATGAGGATGACGATGGCAACTTTGGCGAACGCGGAGGCATTACCATGCCAAATGACTTTGCCTCTTTGGATGAGTCTGGTGATATGAGCGCCGGTCTTCATTGGGATGGAGGTTTCCCTGGATCAATACAGTCGCTACCAGGCTTCGGTGCTCACCACCGCAAGCATGTTACGATAGGATCCACAGACATGATAGATGGCCCACCTGAATGGAACCAGGGAGGCACGCTTGGTCGTGCGCACGGATCCGCTGCTTCGGTGAGCGAGGTTCGCAACCAGAACCAGGATCCTCGTCGCTACGGGAAGGTTCCTCGCACAGCATCGACCCCCAATGCTGCTGCACTGCTCCGTCAGAGCTTGAATGGCTCAGCCAGCGGGCCTCCGACAAACCACCCCTCGCCAAGCACCCCTCCAGAGTCCGGTCTCAGCAGTGCGGTGCCGTCCCGACCAGGCAGCCCTGGTGGGTCGAAAAACGGTGACCCGAACGCGGGACCGACAACCTGCACCAACTGTTTCACCCAGACCACCCCTCTCTGGAGACGCAATCCAGAAGGCCAGCCTCTGTGCAATGCATGTGGCCTGTTCCTGAAACTCCACGGTGTTGTCCGGCCACTTTCGCTCAAGACTGATGTTATCAAGAAGCGAAACCGTAGCAGCGCCAACACACTTGCTGTTGGCACTTCTCGGTCATCTAAGAAATCTTCCCGCAAAAACTCCATTCAGCATGCCCCATCCACATCGATTTCGTCCCGCATGAACACTTCTGAATCGCCACCCTCGATCAATGGATCCAGCACCTTGGGGAAACCCGGTGTTGTGCCAATTGCCGCTGCCCCGCCCAAGTCCGGTCCCCCGGCTGGCGTCGCTCAGGCTCGTGCTGGTGTGCAAGTGGCACCCAGACGGCAGCGCAGACTCGAAAAAGCACCAACTGGATCCGAACCAGACGCAGACGACAGCCCGAAGTCAGCAGCTCCCGCAAGCCGGTCCAAGGTCGTACCATTAGCTCCAGCGATGGCACCACCCGCTGCCGCAAACCCAGCGAACCACAGTATCGCCGGTGGGCAGGGTGCGAGCCAGGAATGGGAGTGGCTGACGATGAGTCTGTAGTTGGCTTCTACCACATTTTCCTTTTCTTTTGATGTGTGACGGGGCTGCCACCACTATAATCTCACGTATTACACGACTTATGTCCCCGGCGGTCGTGGCTCCTTTATTACTTTCATGTTTTCCCTGATTATTATATGTCACGTGTGCTTTTTGTTGATTTGATTGATACAACCGCGTCTGTCCGGGACCCGAGCTGCTTATTATGTTTTCCCTTTCATGTTTGCTTTTTTTTGTTTCCTTTTGTTGTCTCGCAGCTCGGAGCCGGGCAGAAGTGCGCATCTCTCTCCGTCTTTATCTTTTTTTTTAGTATTATTTTACTCATCTATTCTTGGATTTCTTGCGCTGCTGAGCAGGCTTTGATTATGGATCTTCTTATCCTTGCGTGAGTACTTTTAGACCTGGACCTCAATATGATCATGATTTTCTCCAATTCATTCCCTCTCGACGTTAAGCTTATCACCTTTGGGTGTAATTGAGCCCTAAGTGCTACTTTCTTTCCATCATCAACTGCAGGCTGAGCGAAGAATGACATCACAGCTAACTTCACCCCCGGACATTAAGCCGGGGAAACAATCCACGTCATATCGACGAATAGTTGGGCGGTGCTACTTCTCAAGCTTCCTCCAAATAAATTACTTCTACGCCATACAACCCCAAGTCAGATCGCAGTGTATTGAGCCAGCAATCAAACCAACACCAAGATAGCTGGAAAGGCAGTATGGAACCTCTTTCAGTCGGTCAACATCAACACATTAACATGGCAAAGCTGATTCTTTTCAACAGCGCAAGATGGCTAACACGGAGGGTGAGTAGCTATATCGTGGATATCCCTCAGCCATGTAGAACCCAGCTCACACATAACAGAAGCCTCCGAACCATTCACAACCAAGACGAATACCACAGATAGGGTCACCGGCCGCGTCCATGAGTCTGCCAGTCATGCACGCGAGAAGATAGCTGAACAGCTCCAACCCGGTGCGTATTTCCGGCGGTGATAGCGCGTGGGCATTGTGCGTACGACGAATGACCTTTGATCTGGAGTTGAACCACGTGTTGTTTCTTGTGCCCTAGCTAAATAGACTGATTGCGTTCTGCAGGGGATATGAAGGCGACGTCCCGTCGCTTGTCAGATACACCCGATAATATATGGCAATTTGGACAGGGTGGTAAGAGAGAAGAGCGAGACTATGGGTTGGAGAGGGACAAGTCTATGCTGCAGTCGGCGCAGGAGACGGTGGCTAAGGCCCTTGGAGGAGGGTCTCGTGGTTAGTTGCTGATTATGGTAGTCATTTCATATTTTGGTCTTGCTAATCAGATGATCAAGGCACAAGCTAAATGCCTCTAGGAAGCCGATTACAAAAGAATTGTTATATATAATGGAATTTCATGAGATGTTATACATCCATTGGGAGGTTTGATGGCACCATTCCTTCTCCTACCCTTTATTTTAACAAATTGTACATCAAAGTCCGGTAAATGCCCGCTTCTCATCGTACTGAATGTAAATTGTTCTCAGTTACGCCAATATTTCTAGCGAATAGATACCGAATGACTATTGTAGCGGACTCAGATCGTTGAGTTAGATATACTTGGAAAGATCGACATCGTTTGTATGAAGTATTTATCAAATTTCTGTAATAAAGGGATTATAGATATAGGCAGCTCTTAATCAGCCGAAATAATATGGCACAATTGCAAACACCTGCAAGATTGTACGGAAAAGAAGTATTTCCTAGAATATCACAATATACTTCCCGTTCAGGAAGGTTTGTGCCTGAGGCGACAACTGATATGATAAATCACGTGTGATAATCAGAGCAAAAAAAGAATCACCGGCAGCCATCCATCTTCAACAATCAATTGACTTTGCGCAGCCATGGGGTCCAGCTCTAAAAGAAGGAAGGATAAGCAAAAGGACTTCCAGGTTAGAATCGCAAACCCACGTTTCTTTTGTTCAACCCGCTAACCTCTGCAGAAACCTAAACTCAAGGTTGGGAAAACCAAAGCGAAGCCCGACAACTACACCGATACTAGTTTCAAAGCGAAGTGTATGTACTTTTTTTTTGGCTACTTGATGTGTTGTTATGCTCACAACTACTAGCAATTGTCCTCACACAACAATCCCTCCACCTTGCCGCCCCAACTTCGAATGCCACATTCACGCATAACTTATCTCTCCTCTCCGCCAAGTCCGACAGCCAACGACGTGACTCGCTCGCTTATCTGACTACCACGATATCCTCTCGACCAGTAAACTCGCCTCTGCCACAACCAGTGAGCGTTATTCTACCATCTCTGCTGCCGCTCATCCTCGATGGAACCACCAGCGTACGGACCCAGCTCCTCAAGCTCTTGCGGACCCTGCCGGCGGGCGATGTCGAAGACCATGTGGCGCAACTGCTTCCCTACGTTCGTGCAGGAATGACCCATCTTGGAGCGGACATCCGTAGTTCTGCTGTGGAGATTCTATCATGGATGGTTGAGTCAGCGGGAGAATCAACAGTTTCCTGCGCGGGAGGATGGATCAAAACACTCAACTGCTTCTTGTCTGTTTTGGGCTGGCACACTGAAGAGTCATCGCAGTGGTCCTCAAGCCGGGCTTCATTTGGGAAGTCTGGCAGCCAGGGCAAACCCATGGTCAAAACGCTTGGGGCTCTGGCAATGTTTTTGGATGCGGGGATCGGAAAACCTACTACCGGCGGTGTCGATAGTGAGATGTCTGGTGATGACGAGAGTCCTGAGTGGCCGTTCCCTCTTTGCCAAACCGCCCAGCACATGATCTCGGACTCATCTACCCCATTCGCATATCTGAATCTATTCGGGAAACCGCGCGATGAGGAAGGGGAAATGTACGAAACTCGTGAGGATAGGTACCGCGTGTTCTCGACTCGTTTTCAGCCAGCAATCGAGCGTGGAATTAAGGGCGCCAGAGAGGAAGGTGGCGAGCTGGGCCGTGCATCATCCGGAGTGAGCAAGGTGTTAAAAGAAGCGATTGCGTATGGACCGGGCCCATGAATTGTCCAGCCAAGGTTTATGAGCAAAACCAAATCCATCCAATAGAATGGTACCGTGACCTAGGCTGAGGCCTAGAGCTTTTTGCGGGCTTTTACCTATAAAGCCACCAGTGGACCACGCATCCGATTCAAGCCAGCTCGGACATCAATACCACGGCGTCTGTCTTTACGGACGGTCTTGCCCTGCGAAAACTGCAACCACCGCCGAATAGACCCATCAGTGTGCCCTTCGGCCAGGATGGTCGTGGGCTTTGCGCCCTTGCAGCAGGTACAAGCAAGATATATACAATACCAAGGCCCCGAGCCACAACCTTAAGCTGGAATCTCATATATCTTTTCATGGAACAACGATCTTAGTCATTCATCCCTATAGAGCTACCTAGGTAGAAAACCACAAGCAAAATAATCTACCGTCATTCATGGAAAATTAATTTAGAAAGTGTGCTAGGAATAGAGAACTGGATGCCTATTTCTTTGCAAACGCCAAGAAGGCAAACATCAAATATCTGGAGTCCTATTATTGGATCGGCTCTAAACACATTAAAATGTCGTACATGCATGTATGAAATACCAACTCCGAGTCAGTTTCCCGATCGATTCCGGCCCAAAGACTAAAACCAGGCCTTAGAACGAACATGTTTGCTGTGATATGTACGCGATAGACTGTCTATTATTCGCTTATAGTTTTTTTGCGGTCTTGGAAGTGGATATCCTTTTTACCCATTTAAGACAAAGAGGGGAAGACTTGACATGTCTTGTAGCGTGGGTCTGGCACTTCTTTTTATTTTTTATTTTTGGGGCTCGGGAAATTGAGGACCAGGAAGTTGAACACTGCAACTGTGAAGAAGAGCGTTTTTTTTCGGAGATTAATGCAGGAAAATCGTAGAGATGGTGGTGTACTACCTATCTATGTACAACATAGGAAATGTGTGGGACATTAAGGCAAGGGATAATGATCGAGTTCAGTTTATGATTTCATTTCAGAATCTTATTTCTTCTACTTTTGAATGGGTCTCACATCTAAGTTTCGCTTTATCACTTCTAATGCCGGTATAGATTAATATATGTAGTGATATCAGATCAGTGTTCCACAGGGCTACCTAGGTATATCCCGCAGGATTTGTACTATGGAATGCATACCTCGTATGTATTGACATATTGGTATATTATTCAAGTCATTGAAATGATTTAAATCAAAATGTTGTGTTATTGACCCCCTATTTATTTCCAATAGTTCAAGAATTGAGTGTGAGCTATCTCACCCTCTCATTCTCCCGATCTACGTGTATGTACTTTTGACCCAAAGATCGGCCATGATCGACTGTCTCTACCCGTCTGGAGGATCCCTAAAAACTCGGATCTGCACAACTCCGATCTGAACTCTTGCTTCATTCGGGAAGATCACGACAAGTTAAGTGTGTTTGGCTTGAAAGATTTGTTCTGCTGGATCTGATACCTCACATCCGGTGGGGAGGACGGATTACGGAGTACAGGACTTGACGTTTTCTCTTCCCCCCACCCCTTGCATTTATATCTAAGGGGGACAAGAAGGAGAAAAGCCAATTAGGAAAGAGCAGTTCGATTGGCGATTGTTCGGTGGTTGGCCAGCATTGTCACTGCCACAATAAACACAATGAAGAAGAAAGGAGGGAAAAAAAGAAACCGAATCCCAGACGGCAACATGCAGCCGCATCAGCACGACCGAGTCTGACATACAAGCGCTGTGTCATATTACCTTCCTGATCCCAAACTATACATCGCGAGTGCCACAGCGTGTTTAATGGCCAAAGTTGTCTAGAGCGAAAGGTTCTCCACAAGACCTTGCTCGGACGAATCCCTTTGGACGAACCTATTTTCATTATCTGCAGGACCGATCCTTCGGATTCGTACTACCGTTTTAGCCTCAACCAAACTGTATATCTGTACCTTGCCAGGTTCCGAGAGGGGGTTCCCCCCGGACTCCTCCTGTGCCCTAGTTCAAGGATCCCCTCCAAGTAAGGATGCGACAGCTCAGGATCCTATTAAACTCTCTCTATTTCCACCTCGCAGTTTCGACTTTTGTTCGCTCGTTTCGATTCTCCCATACAGAACGCCACCTCGTCAACTATTGTCGACTTTGTACATATTGACACCCCCTCTGTATAGTGGTGTCAGCTTGTGTCGACATATCATATTCCTCGCGCGTCTATATAACTTCTCAGGCCCCTGTCGTGTTGGCCCTCTTGAGCAGGTGAGCATGTCTTGCTCCCGAGCTAGTGCCTCGGTTCATCTCTCTAACTTGGGAAGTATAGCATCGTCTATTGCTTTACCTGTTGGGCAACCTGGATTTTCATGTCGACAACCGGGAACTGCCGGATTGCAAAGCAGCCAGTAATTGATGCTCCGTTTCCCTATGCATCAGTTTGATTCACCGCATGACTGTGCCGTTGCACCAAGCCCAATCGTTCGGACTTATCGACCTGATCCTCCCTCGAAACGCAGGATCCCAAACATGACGTCCACAAAGACTGGACCACCAAAGGCCCTGGTCGTCCCCAGGCCTCCAGGCGGCAGTGCTCCACGACCTGAAGCCCGATCAGCAGGTACGGCTGAAAGAGCTGGTAGAAATGAAAGCCTAGTGGACATGGTTCGATTCTTTCAGTCTCAAAATATACCCTCTCAGCCGCCTCCATCTCAGCCTCCATCCCAACCTCAACCCCGCTCTCGCGCTCCCTCTCAACCTCCCTCAAGTCCTTCCGATACAACCACTGCACTTCCGGTTCTTATCTCGCCTAAAGAATCGAAACCAGAATTGAAGCCTGATCCGAAGCAGGATCTGAAGCCATTTCGTCGTCGCCTCTTGCAGTTTGCACAGCGACAAAAGAAGGAATCGTCGCCCAGGTCAAAGCAAGAAGACCAACAGCGCCAAATCGAAGCATTAACAAGGGGAGGATATCTTATTCCAGCGGCTTTCCCAAAGGAGTCAAAGGGACAAAAGGAGGCAAAGCGGCCAGAAGAAAGACTGTCACTTTCTCTCTCTCGATCTCTTTCCAAATCAAAGAAAGATGTAGAAACCATTGGACAGCCATGGCTGCAAGCCAAAGTCGATGACAACAGGCGACCAACTGAGGCAAGACGTCGCTTGGGCTCTCTGGATCTTGATGACTTTGGCTCAATGGTCGACGTCGCAGTCTCACTCACTTCCGATTTCGACGATTCTATGCCGCCGCCGTATCACCCAAACGATCACGCCTCCTCCCAATCCCCATCAGCTATCCCGACGTCAAGTTCTACGGACCCCATTCCTCATGACATCACCCGACCAACTTCCTCGTTGGCCTCCACCAGTCATTCCTATAGGAACGTGTCAATTGATGAGCAAATCCAACGCCCATCTAGCTCTGCAGAGTCGAGTATCCGTGTCGACCCTGTTTCACAAGTAACTATCAACGCATCCGTGGCTGTGAATGGGACAGAGCCACAGCCTAAACCGTCCATTGGTAGCCAAAAACAAAATCAGTCAGAAAAATCCTCTCCTCGCAATGTGACACCATTGTCGCCTACCTTGAAACTTTTCCCTGATGTTGCACCTCCTCGAAAATCTAGCAGGGGCGCATTGAGAAATTCAGCAATTCCTCGGTACCAAACGATCGAAAATACCACAGCATCTCCGGCATCCAGCTCACGAACTGGACCTTCTGACAACGTACCCGAAGTTCCAAATGAGGCCCAAAAATTATCAAATGGTTTCATAGATGCTCCAGTGAGCGAGGCAGAACCAAAGTTCTCAGGTACTCTTGCACCTTGTGCGACCTCTTCTGCAGCGGCACTATCTATAGAAAAAATCTCAGAGGATTCTGCCTCTCAAGATGAGACCAAAATTCGACCGCTCTCGTTGTCCCTGGGCACACTGAAGGCATTTCCTCTCCCGGTGCCTACAAGACCCCTGCCATCACTGCCCAAAGCTAAATGCTCGCCGAGTCCTCCGGACACCAACGCTCGCTCTATTCGAGAGATTGATCAGGAGCCATTGTCTTCCAATCTGCATTCTCCTTCGGTAACACTGGTTGAAGACCAGGAGATTGAATCCGCTGTTGACGGTCCCCGTGCCCTTGACTCGCGCCCGGCAACCGCTCCTGGCGGTGTCGATGCTGGAGAGTCAATGGCGGATGACGAGGAAAGCTTGTTTACTACTTCACTTTCGGAACACTACCAGCCAACCCCGGAACATTGCGCTCCCAGAGGACGTGTTTCGAGCGTGCGCATCCCTCAGATGCAAGAACTACCCGAACGCCCTTCGAGTGAATGTGGTGCAAAGGCCTCAGAGGGGCAGCCTTTGGCCGACTCTCCAGTCCTAGGACACTCTACCCCTACAAAGTCTAATGGCAAACGTGCTGTTCTGAAGGGGCTTCAGATCAATTCCCAAGTCAGTCGAAAGAATCTTCCATTTGGTCTGCCATCACCTCCACCCACTGCATCACTCCCATCAGCTCCGCCTCCTCAGCACCCACCTCCTCCGCCTCCCGGGCGAAAGGTTGGCCAACGCAACTACACTGCGCCTAATGTCGCTATTCTGCCACCAAAGAGGAACATGGAGGCGCATCCTGCACCGGGGCCCTACCGAGGTTCGACCTTATCCCGGAGCGACAGCTCAGGGAGCAGCCTTCGACATGAGAGTTTCCCCGAAACATATCAACAAAGTCGCCCTGAATCTCGCCCCGAATCTCCGCTTCCATCATCAGACGATGAGGTCTTTGGTCCAGAGATAGACACCAAACAATCGCGCCGGGAGGCCGACAAATACCAGCGCATCCAGCCAACACGCCGGGGATATGAGACAATGGATCCACGGCCAATGTCCTCCCGCAATCGACTTCGTTACCCCAATCCCGCGCGGCCTATGACACCCCAAAGCCGCAGCATACACAGTCTTGAGAAGGCTTCGTCTCCTCAATCACAATATTCCCAATCAACCCACAGATCGAGGGAGTCTCAAAGCAGCAGTCAACAGACCCGCGCTGCTCCTCAAATAGATCACTACCTCGAGGACCGGGTCGCGAATCTGGAACGCCAGAACCAGATTCTACAAGCCGCTCTTATGGCGGCGCTCAACGCCGGAGCCAAGAATCCTCTCGAGGGTCTCAATCTCGACCCGAACATGTCATCAGGCTCCTCACGCGCTCCCTTTGCGCACCAATATCCCGGCCGCCATACATCACGTCCTGACAGCTGGGTCAGCTCTTCTCGCAGTAGTGAGCACAGCGGGTTTGAGACTTCTAGCTCATACCGAGATAGCCGGCCAAACGTCAAACAGCTGGACAACATGATCGAAGACATCGAGTCTGGTTGGCTGTCGGATAAGTCTAGTTTGAGTGGAACTCGAATTGCCCGCAAACGATAGATAACGATCTTTTTACTTTGCCTTTCTTATATTTTTTTTACATCTTCATTGCTTCTGACGGAACGACGTTACTCATTTATTGGCTTGCGATGATCTTTTTGGCTTCCATTTCTACATATCCCGGCCCTGTCTATCTTTGCTTATATTTTCCATGATACCATTCTGTTTTACTCTTGATTTTTCTGAATTCATATTATTGCACTGGATGTTATGCTATATATCCCTGCAATCAACAATAAATCAGATCTATATAGTTCCGAGTCGAGGTTGACGTTGTGCGCCATATAAAGCTCTTACATAGAATTAAAACCACTTAGGAGATCTTTAATGGTAGAGATGGATTTACTTGGATATTAATTAAGATTTCCCCATTTCGCCAGTACCTGAAGAGCCTAGAGATCTTCATAGCAGGATTCTATCTATGCCTGATATTTTTGTGCCCATCCCTATGCTTAGTCATTTGTTTTGGAGACGCCCAAGTGCAGTCAACTTCTTGAACTCCATGTGCTTCAATTATTTTAGCTGAAGGAAAGTACATAGCAGAAACAGCAATAATTGCAAAGACATGAGGTGCTCAGTGCTCGTCTAACCCACCCTAACCATAACCCCCCACACCGCATACCAACACTCTGCACATTCCCCGCGGAACCTCCCAATCATGGCGAACTCAGGACAAGTAAGTGCAATCTCTCCTCCAAAAGCGCTCAAATATTTTGACAACCCCCCTAAGCGCACACAGCAGGTCCCCCAGCATGTCACCGCGCTGCTCTCGCACCTCACCTCCCGCCCGGGCGTGCAATCCACCTTGATTCTCTCCCGCAAAGACGGATCCATCATCCAAAGCACAGGACAGCTAGCACAAACGACCGAAGAAAACGGAAGCTCTCGCACCGCACAAATCTCTCCGTCCACAACCGACCCGAACCCTCTTTCCGCCGCCCAACCCACAGACCCATCATCCCCTACCTCGCCCACCGTGTTACAGCCCTACCAACCCTCGCAAGCTGAGACACTAGCTGCCCATATCTTCGCGTTTGTCTCCAGTGCCGAGGCACTCGGTGTCTCGCTATCGCGGCCCACGCTCACTGTGCAGCGACCCAACGACAGCCATTGGGATGTTAACTACGACTACGTGAACGAGGCGGGCACAGCACGCGAGGAAGACCGGGACGGCGATGGTCTCGATCGGGACGAGGATGGGGAAGTGAAGCTGTTGAGAATGCGCACAAAGAAACATGAGATTGTTGTCGTGCCGGATCGGAAGTACCTGCTGTGTGTCGTACATGATGCCTCCCCCGGTGGAGGGCCTGGGGCGGCGAGCTCGCGCTCCCGGTAGTGGAATTATTGTTCGTTATCGTGAATACGGCTGCTCACATGTGGCCCTTTCGGGGGGTTTTTTCTTGTTGTTAATTTATGGGGTCTTGTTTTGTTGGCTTTGGATTTCATACATATACCCCGATGGAAGCAAAATCTTCGCATTTAATTCATGTTTTCCATGTCAAGGCTATGTGTAGGATTGCTTATGGATGGGTTGGAGAGAGAGGGGCGTCTATCTGCACAGGACTAGGTAAAAGTACTGTTTTCCATTGCTTTATGAAGAGATGATACTGCGGGCAATGTGGGTGGTTGTTTAAGTGAAGCAACCTACTCCTTCTTTTCAGATATACGCGCCGATGGCAAGCTCTATAATGTAGTCGACATCTGGCTCAACTCAGATCCTTGAGACAGAATCGAATCGAAATACATACAACGTAGCTTGAGACCGGAGAAAATCCGTTAACAGCTCCACTGTTTACCCCTCATCGGGCGAGGCTGACAATTATCAAGTGGACAGACATCCTTCATATCTTGCAATTCTCACATCCAAGAGTGCATATATTATTTAGCTATATCAAGCGAATCCGATAATTCAATATGGCCTCTGCTCTCGATATTTCGGCAGCTCGCTCTCGCTTCCCTGCACTGCAGCAGGAGCAAGTGTATATGGACAACGCTGGTGAGATGCACCTCCATTCTTTATAGCGATAACTTTGAGATTTATGCTGATTCTTAAACTACAGGTGGAAGTCAGGTTCTAGATACTGTGGCCGACTCGTTAGTCTAATCGACCCTATTGTAGATTGCTATATACTAACGCGGCCATAGCATCCGTTCTTATCTGCTGAACACAAATGTCCAGCTCGGAGCCAGCTATAAAGTCTCCCAGACTTCGACTAATGCGTACGATAATGCATACAAAGTGGCTGCTGGGTTCATCAACGCCGGGCCCGAGGAGGTATCTGCTCTATAATCCATGGGGTTTACTTCCCAAGAAGTATAAGAACTGCCAAAGTTCGGGTGCTAATGCATGAATTTGGAAACAGATCAGCATTGGTATCTCAACCACTCAGCTACTGCACAATCTCGCTACGGCGCTTAGATTCCAACCTGGTGATGAACTGGTCCTATCCAAACTTAACCACGAGGCCAATACCTCCCCGTGGGTCCATATAGCAGAGAGGTTGGGCTTGACCGTAAAGTGGTGGGCTGCTGCCGACCCAAAGAATCCTGTGTGCGATCCAGCTGAGTTGAAGTCCCTGCTCTCCGATAAGACCAGACTCGTAGCATGCCCTCATGCTTCCAATATCACTGGCACTATTAGTCCCATCCGAAAGATTGCAGACGTGGTCCATGTTCATCCTCGCGTGAGTAACTCTAAAATATATTGGCTTCTATGCACTGGCTCACACAAACTCATACAGGCACTGCTGTGTGTGGATGGAGTGGCCCTGGCTCCGCATCGTCAGGTCGACGTGAAGGCGTTGGACGTGGATTTCTACGTAAATTGCAACCCAAGCCTTTGGGTGACTGGTTCATTGCTGATCCCCCCCACTATCTAGGCATTCTCCTGGTACAAGGTGTATGGACCACACTTGGCGCAACTATATGCCTCGTCACGCGTTCACGACCAGATCCAGTCACTGGGGCATTTCTTTAAGCCCACAGATACGCTAGATCTGAAGCTCAATCTCGCATCGGCTAATTATGAGCTTACACAGAGTATTCCCCAGGTTGTGGAGTACTTTGGCTCCGACCCTAGCACGACCTGGGCGCAGATGGCAGAGCACGAGGAGCGGCTGCAAAAGATTCTACTGGAATTCCTAGCTTCTAATAGCCGGATTGATATTATCGGTGAACCTTCAGCCAGCAAGGAGCTCCGCGTGCCGGTTATTAGCTTCGTTGTGCAGGGAGTGGGTAGTCAGCGCCTTGTGGAGGAGGTTGAGCGTCAATCGGCCTTTGGGTTCCGCAGTGGTCATATGTACAGCCACCGGCTACTGGCCGACGTGTGCGGATTGGACGATGTGGAGGATGGGGTGGTGCGGGTCAGCTTCCTGCACTATAACACCGGTGAGTGGGTATCTCGATTGGATTTGCTCGATACTAACAAGGACAGAGGCCGAAGTAGGGGGGCTGGTAGATGTATTGAGAGAGGTGCTTGCATCCTTATAGCGTGTACATCTATGTATAGCATAACTGGGCTATTCATATTCATTTTATCGAGACTACATGCCATGAAGGACTTTTTTCTCAATTTTGTTAATTTTGTTCTTTTTCTCCCACTACATTACTACAGACCGCATATTTTGCCACTTGGCTGCCCTGCGGTGATCTCTAAGCCAGGGATATGTGAACCTTCGAGAAATCCACCACCTTGAAGCCTAACCTTGTAAAAACATCTGCTCTTTGTTTTCAGCCTAAGTTCCCACCGTGAGGTCATATGAGTTCAGTACTCCCGAGGTTCCCCAGTTCCATGAAAGGCTGCAGGCAACCCCAACCAGCAACGCCGATCGCAGTGCCAGCCAATCAGCATAGAGATAATCGTGGAATAATGGGAATTTAGTGGATCGCAGCCTAACAGCCGCGCGTGGATTGGCCAAGGTGCGAAGACAGCGTGGCAAGCGGCTTTATGACTCAGTGGAACTTAAACAGAGCCTTCGGAATGGATGGATAATGGCTCTTTTTGAGTAATATGAATATTTCATAAAACATCTCATGAGTATTTCTCTTGCTGATTTGTTAATATGGAATTTATTTTTCTTAAAATAAGATTAATCACGCTATGAGTGGCTACACGAGCATAAGGTGCCACTGCATAGTCAAGTCATTCTAGGTAATGGTCCTTTTTATGTTTAGATAGAATGATAATCATATTAGAGACGAAAATGAAGATTAACAAGATAATAATAGATATAGGAAATACATAAGATAGAAGATATTAGACTATCTAATAGAATAGAACCGATATAATAGACCTAACTCTATAAAAAAAGGTGATAGAAGCGTGAGTCACCGTCGTACCACTCCAGGGCTCTCCTCTCTCCCTCCTATCTCGGAGTCTCTTCGCCGCATCCGGGTTTTTTCCCCTCTCACCATCTCCTTCAGAATGTTCCTCATCTCCTGATTCTACTTGTTAGGAGATTATTATAAAGAAGAAGTAGAATATTTGACTATATTTCTATATTGTGGTCCCTGCGCCTCCCGGCATCTTCCTAACCCGCCACCCACTTGTTCTCGCCACAGTGTGACTTTCTTTTCCCCTTCCCAATTTTTGCCCCCCCAATCTCTTTTAGTCAACTAAAACAGATTTTGAAAAGAGTCATAGGTAAACTCATTCCTTAAATGTCCTCTTCCTTTCTTCTCTGACTCCTTCGCTAACACCTATCTCGCCCCCCTCAGCCTCATCCTCTCCCCCGACTCGCCTCCCTCTCTGCCTAGCCGCTTCAACGACTGCCTTGTACAGACAGCCACCAGCGTGGTTCTGCCTGTCCACGGTCCGTTGGGTGCCTTGATTTAACCCTTTTCCTATCACACGACTCATTTCAAAATGTACCTTATTGATTCATCCGTTCCGATCGCCTGTGTTGCTGTTACCGACCTCCGCATCGTCACCGTCTCTGGCTCCATCTAATACACTCGGAGAAAAAAGAGTCATCCTACCACGTGCCCCTGCTTTGGTTCTTATATCAGAAGCACTTGGTTGATCGGATCGTGAATACGTTTTCCTTTTCTTGTCTTTATATTTGATTGTTTCCCCTTTGGCCTCTTTTTAACCGCTACACCCGGCGGTTCCGCTTATTTTTCTACGTCTGGTTATAAACCTGGCTCTCTACATTTAAAGGTCTGCCGTCGCCTTTGTCGCAAAGACGGCTTCTGTCTCCTCGGCTCTCGTTCCCGGTTCCCTGCTTAACGGTATCTTGACACTACGGTTCCAAAAAATCGGACCATCTCGCTTTTATCCGGCTGTCTTCATTTGAACTTTGTTCACACAAACGCCCTATATGAACTCCACACTTCCGGATATGTCAGGGATGGACGTCTTGGGGATGACCCTCTCAAACCCAAGTTCTCAATTGACAGCGTCTCACCACGCTCACCCCTATGAATCCTCGATCTCCTCCTCCGCCTCCTCCTCTTCCTCATCTGTATTCTCCCTCGATGGCGTCTCCTCGCAGAGTTCGATATCATCGACATCGACCAACCCGGTTGACGTGATTTGGGAGAATGAGAGTAATAGCCAGTTGGCGGGAAGAAATCCGAACGGAGCATGCCCCCGGGCTTTTGCCAAGGGACCTGCTTCTAAGGTGGACGGTGTAGTGCCATCCGAGCTGCGAACGCACCCTCGGCGCACTAACAGTTATTCTTCTAGCGCTCCCAGTGCGCGACCTCCGCCATGTCTGCTACGGCAGTCGGAACGGAAGGTGAATTTCGTCGACAACCTCGTCGGTAAGTCTTGAAAAAGGATTCCTCAAGTACGTCTTGTACGCCCGGCTAAATAATATTCCCCCTCCTTTAAGACACCGCATCACAGATCGTTGAAACCATCTGGCCCCTTTCCGCCGCGGCATCCCGCAGTGATGCCGCGACCGGATCCAAAGGGGTTCTTCCTCTCCGCACTTTTATCCAGGAGACTCTCCGCCGCTCGCGTACTAGCTACAGTACCTTGCAGGTGGCCTTGTATTATTTGATTAAAATCAAGCCCCACGTACCCACGCATGACTTCACCAAGGAGCAGCCTCGGGATCAGTCGCCTTTGCGGGCGATGCAGTGTGGACGCCGGATGTTCCTGGCAGCGCTGATTCTCGCTTCAAAGTATCTGCAGGATCGCAACTACTCCGCTCGTGCGTGGAGCAAGATTTCTGGCCTTAATACTCTCGAGATTAACCAGAATGAGCTTATGTTCCTCAAGGCTGTCGGATGGCGCCTGCACATCGATGAAGCAACGTTTCAGCGTTGGACTGATCTGGTCTTGAAGCTGACCCCTGGTGCCGGTGGACCCCCGGTTACTAAAAGCCAGTGCTGGCAGACTGTTCTACCCAGACTCACCCCTGAACTGGACTTTGTAGAGTCAGAGCCCATGACCCCAGTCTCGGCGATGGGTGGGATGGATCTCGGTCGGTCAGAATACCTCTCGCCTCGTAGTCTGCCAATCAATGAGTCGGTGCGCTCCTTGCCGTGCGAACAAACTCCGACTTACGCTCGGTGTCTTCCACGAACCCTGGAGCCAACTCCGCGCATGGATTATAACAACTTGGCTTTGCCTAGTATTCCACGACCTATGATGCTTCCCACGCCACAGATGACCCCCCAATCTCAAGTGTCCTCCACTCCTGCTGCGAGTATGGCTGCTTACAACCCCCGCCGCCCATCCATCTGTACGGCTATGTCTCAGGCGCAGAATGCGTGCATGGCGCGATCAACACTCGATCAGCGCCCGCCCCTGTCATTCTGCCCTCGGACTCAGTCGTACGATGGTTTCCAAGCTGCGGCTCGTCGGTCATCTTTGGCTCGGTCAACCTCCTCGGCATCGTCGCCTGACTCGATGGTTTCGGACGTCTCTACCTTGTCGTCCCGCTCTTCGCGGTCGTCATCAGTCTCGTCCAACGCCTCGGGTGCTTCGGGCTCTGCGCCAGCTCGCCTGGCTGTTAAGGCTACATTGCGTTGCACCAGCAATTCCCTTAAGGAGTCCCGTAAGACTCTGGCCATTGCCTCTCCGATTGACGAGAGTCTGGTCGGTGTCTACAGCTCTCCTGAATATCCCAGCTCTATGGGTTCTTCGGTCCCAGACCTGTCTAATTTTTCCCTGGATTCCAGCCTGAGCGAAGCTGCTCAGAGTCTCTGCGAACTTTCCGGCGCGACGCCCGAACTGCGCCAGTGCCGAAAACGTGGACGTACTGGATCCGACGATCTCTTGCTCCAAAACCATGTGCGCCATCTGATCAACCTTGGGGCCTCTGGAGACCAATCCGTGTTACCTGATGGACAGTTCCCACGCTCGTTCATGACACAACATGGGTCCTCCATTCCCCCCATGCGGACTGGCCCAGTCTCTGGACCAGCGGGCATGAAACGTGCCTGCTGTGGCAGCGAAGCACGCAAGATCGCGTTGAACCCGAGTCTCCGTGTTGCGGAGTACTTGAATTGACTTGCGATTTATTAGCGGATTTTCCTTATTTTCTTATTTCCTTTGTGCGAGGCAAAAAAAGAAAAAGTCCGTCGTTTTCTTTGTTTTTTACCCTACGGTGAACCGACCCCGTTGTACATACCCCTATTCTCGGGTACTCGGCCTTACGTACGGGACTTGGGCGTTTATTCCCGAAGTGTACGATGTGGTGATGACTGGCGTGTCTTCTACTTGCATCGTGCATCTGTTCTCTCACTTTTTTCCCTTTCTTTTATCTACTTTTGTGGTTGCGAACGGAGTGTGGTCGGCATGGGACGGTTATGGTCTTTATTTACTCTGGTTACTTTGGGGGGGGAAAGCGGGCGTCTGCCCTGATTATACCTGTATCAACTCATCCATCTAGGGGATGGTATACGTGCCATCCCCGAGGGTTTCTCGCCCTCGGATAGGATAGTCAATCCAAATACAGCTCAACAGCGATATCGGCCCTTCTCGTATTCCTAAGCGCCCTGACCAGGCAACTGCCCAGAATGTGCACATGACAGGTCTGACCGTGCAACTTTAGAACGGGAATCCATGGCTCCGCTGTGAGTCATTCAAGCGTCAATGGTGGCTGGATGTGGCTGTGGATCCTGGTGTGGCTGTGGAGTCCGGGTGGCGGGCATTAGCCCCTTGGTTTCTAAGTATAGAGTGGAGCGCATGCATGGCACATATTGTTCACAGCTTGGCTGCTACAAGGAGCTATGTACTCCGTACTTTTATACCAATCCTGGGGTGCTTGAGCATATGTAGACAAAAGTCCTGTGTCTATATGCAACTGATTCTAAACTCGATCTAATACTAATACTCTCGGGTGGGGACTAAGAAGGTCTTCCTTCTTACTCAGATATCGGCTTGACCAGATGATGAGAAGTCAGGTACAAGTACAAGCGCTTAACCTACATATAGAACCGAAGATGATGTATTAGATGATGTATTCACCTAGCCACCATGAAGGGACTGCCGGTCACGTCGCTGCCACGTGACCATAGGATTGCCCTAAATATTAGAAAACCTGTATGTTGTAACCATTATGGTTGCAATATCAAGGTGGAAAAGATACATCGAGAAATACATCAAAGAGCCGATTATAGTATGATCAAATATAACATCTATCGCATCATCTTGGGCCAAATGGATATTCAGATTCTCAGAGTCCTACGTTGTCATACGCGGTCGACTTATGAAGCTGGTCACTTGAATATTCACATAGACATCTACATGCCACTCGGTACAAAACAGAAAATTCAGATCAATACCAAAGAAAGCTAGATAGCCTTTTCCACATCCATATGTTTCTCCTGTGTATCAGAAACCACATCCTTCCTATCTGGGTCATCTGCTTCCATTCCTTCGACCACCGTGCCTCTATCGTATATCTCGTCAGGTAGAACAGCGCGGTCGATCCGAGTCTCATGCGCAGGAAACAGCCATGATAACAACAAATATGCAATAGATGTCCCAACAAAGCCCAACAGCCACCCAAACTCAAACGGATGTATACCGGCGCCAACATCGACATGAGAGTTCACAGAGTTGACCAGTCCGGGAAGACTCGGCGCAACACCCACAATAAAAGACAACACGGCGCGCCAGTTTGTGCCAGACATGCTCTTGCCCGAGAAGCCCGGAATGGAGAATGTATAGCGATATGTCGGGTTATTGGGCTGGTATAGAGCGAGCGTGTCATACCGACGGCGGTTGACAACCCAGTAGTCAAACATCATAATTGCAGCAATAGGACCAAGGAAAATCGCATATGCAGACATAAAAGTAAGGAAGTTGCCTGCCGATTCGAGGATTTTCCAGGGAACAAGGCACCACGACAGCAAGGCACATAGGATCTGGCCGCGCCGGATGTTGATATACCGTGGTGCCAGTGCGGTGAAATCGTTAGCGGCCGAAAGAGAATTGGCCGAGATGTTCACGCCCAGGGAGGCTAGTGCGAAGGATGCTGCGCCGAAAAAGCGACAGGCGCGGTTGGGCCAGTAGCTGATCAGGACAGTTGGATCCCATGGAATAGTCGAGAGATTATAGTGAACTTGGCCGGCAGACGATGCGGCAATGCCAATAAATGAAAAGAAAGTGAATATAATAGGTAGCATAGGGATATAAAGTAGCTGCCAGCGGGGACTGACGCGGGAGTAGCGGGAGAAGTCAGACTTGAGGACGGTTAGCTTTTGCGATAGTTGGTGGCATAGCAGCATCACTATACCTGATTTACTGATAAGGTTGCATAGTTTCCCAAGACCGATGTCATATTGGCCAAGAACAGCCAGCTATACTTGGAGCCGGAGACTGTTGGAGCCTGCTTTGCGAATACGCCACCACCACCTTTCACGGTGACAAACGACCATATCAAGATAGCGATCCAAGCGATGGGGACCAGAATCGATTTGATTGTAAATAACCAGCGCAGCTTGTTTGGATGCATGCAGAGGAATGGAACCTGGATCAACCAGAAGATGAAAAATCCGACCATACCACCGGTCGTAATTCCCTGTGACTCGGGGATACCATTTGGAATATCCAGGAAGCTTGGCCAGATTGCTCCAATCATGACACGGACAGCATTTCCACCGTTGACATTTTGGATAGCAAACCAGAAGATAGCAAGGATAACTCGTGAGATGATGGCGATATATGATCCCCAAAATCCCCAGCTAGCACGAGCTATCACAGGGAATGGAACATGGTATATGGCGCCCACGGTACCGTTTGCTGCAATGACCAACGATATGATGAAGAAGGACAAGGCGACGATGCCCAGAGCTTCACGATAGGTGAGGCCGACGGCAATCATGCCGCTGGCGAACTGCCAGGTGGCTGCGTGCAAGGCATCGGAGATCCAATATGCTACATAATAACATGTTCTATTAGCCCCAGCCTAATATTTGTAAAATATAAGCACAATTATCGTACCAATTATACTGGACACACCCCATTTGCGTCCGTTTTTGGGAATCGGGTCGAGATCACGGTTTGTCCACCGTGCATTGCCTGCTGCAAATGCAGACTCACCCTGTGAGACGCGTATATGCGGCCTAGAGACGCGTAGCTTCATGGTTTGGATATGTAATCCGTGAGATGGATGTTCTCAACCTTGGAAGAAAAAGAGGGTTCGGGCCACGGTCCTTTCGGGGTGTATATTGACGTAATCCACGACGCAAGGGGTAGAACAGCTCAATAATATAGAACATAAGATAATGAGATCAAAAGAAATGCAGGTCCAACGTCTTCTTATTCCCCAGATTTGCCCCCGACCTGCCCCGTGCACAACAGGGATGATGATAAGAATGATAAGCCTACATTATGCAGATAAGACCAGGGAGGCGAATGAGAAGGAAGAGCTCAAAAGTACCTCATAAAACTCGTTTAGCGTGTAAAGATACAGAGATATGCTTAATTGCTATCCATGCTGTATGCGCAGACCCAGCGGTATAGGTGCCATGCGACAAACCCCCTTTTTGGGGTAATATTGACGTCTGAATTAAGGCTGGCAGAAAAATGAAGATAACTCACTAACTACTTGAACTAGTCCACGGCCCCGGGGGTATTATAGAGGCCTTGATAAGCAACGTACCCTATTTCTGTTAGCTGATCCTCGAAGTATAAAAATGAAGCTTTTGACACTATACAAATTTATATATCACCACTTTTTAGGTGGTTTACTATAAAACCCCTTTATTCAGAGCTATACACCACCTAAAAAGTGATGATATATGAATTTGTATGGTGTCAAAAGCTTCATTTTAATATATAGATACAAGAATAGTCGGCCGCTTATACGGCCTTATTAAGTCTTTTTTAGTAGTCTTCTTAGATACTCTTCTTAGATGCTTTTTTTGCAGATGTCTTTTCAGATGTCTTTTTAGTGGTCATCTCAGATTCTTCTCAGTTTGTCTTTTTGGATGTCTGTTTTCATAGATATTTTCTCCCCCTTCTTAGTTTGTTAGCTAGACGGCGGGAAAAGGCGGGAAAAGGCTTAATTTGTGAAATGGACTTTTCTATAACTACTAGTTATGTAGCAGTCGAGGTTCCACGGATAATCAGGCATTAAGGCATCAATATTACCCGCAAAGGGGGTTTGTCGCATGGCACCTATCTGCTGCGTAATACGCAGGTCCAATACAAAAAAACTAATGCGATCATCACTATGCGCCCCAGGCATTTGTCGATCCCTATGGAAGTACCTAGGTATGTACTCTCTTTACTGCTTCTCACCTGGCAAACGGACATCCTGCCACCCTCTTCCATCACCGACGCCCTCTACACTGCCGTGAGGTCGGATCCCCTGCCACTCCGTGAGATTGATCCACCCAATCTGCTGCACGTCGCCAAATCCACCAATCCAGTAAGCATGGGTGACCACCAACCGAGCCCAGAAACTCGCATGAGGCGAGTAAGAAGAACCAGGTAGCCAGACCTTTGCGTCGGGATGAGGCTCGAGGAAACACTTCTCGAGGGCCGCAGCTGCGTCATTGGAAAGCGGGGACGGGAGGTTATCCAAGTATCCGAAGAGGGTGACGCGAGGCAGAGCAGCTGGGCTGAGAGGAAGACCAGGGTAGACTGCACCGGCCTCATCAAGATGATCCCACCAGTCTAACTGGAGACTGAGATTAGATCCTGCTGCAATGTTCTTAAAAGTGGTTCCAATGCGAAGGCCAAGGATTGTTGGATCGCCGTTATCATCGTGGGATAGATCCGATGGCAGGGATCCATCACAATCAGCAATGTACTCGCGGAGTCCGATCGAGAGACCGGCAACATCCGAGGGAGCGTGTGCGGAGGGTGGGAGGGACTCGGGGAAGTTGGTGGAGATGACCCCAGAGGGTGACAAGGCAAGCAGGCGGCGGGCCATCAAAGTTGAGGTGAACCATGACGGACGGTTTAGAGCACTTTCATCTTCAACATGGTTAGAGCTTGGGCCCGGGTTCAAACTGTTTGGTCGTCCGAGGAAGGCCTGGAGATGGTCTGGAAGGGGGATAGAAAAGCCATGGGCTGTGAGGGGTAAAAGTAGTGCGAGAGCGCCAGTAAGAATGGAGGCCGAACGAGAGACCATCATGACGGCTAATTAGATAGATAAGTTGGCATCGAAAGAGCTTCCGGAAGTTCCGAGGAGAAAGAAGAAGAGAGAGTAGAACGGAGAAGTGCGGGGAGCATCAGCTGATAGCAATCTTATCTGATCAAAGTCATCTACGGCAGTCTCGAACCGCCGGTGGCGCCACCTCGGATTTTCCCTCAACAGTCTCCGGGTCCAAATATAGCTGGATGTTCTTGGCCAATATGATATCGGTCCTGGACAATTACTGGGTATGCATTATGAAATGAAATGAGAGAGGCAAGACGTAGTTATACATGGTGGAGCGTGAGAATGGAGAAGAATTGTTGAAGCAAGAAGCTATGAAACCATAGATAATCTAACAAAAAAAAAGAAAGGCCACCCATCACAACCCACAACAACACATTATGTGGTATTGATATGTGGGTTCTTTATGGTCTCTTGGACTGCCTACAAACCTCTGCGCCAGGACCACGCTTTTTGTTACACAGGATTCCGGTCCCTCGTAAACGTGATAATAGCATTCCTCTGGGCTCGCTAGCTAGGAATGACCCTACGAGGAGTAGATCCTCTAAACCAAGCATATCCGTAGAATATCGTTCGCAAGGGCTTAAATTTGGGGTTCTTCCTTTATTCCGGTACCATCTGCTGCTGCTACCTCTTCTATAGCTGTACTACTAGGCCCTAGATTAAGAGTGAATTCTTCCATACGGTGCTCAAGTGCGGTCCGTAAATAGTCTTGCCATAAGAAGCAGAACTTATATCGTGTTTTTCCACTTGATCAGGCGCTAGATTGTCCTAGAAAAGAACCCACGCACGTTGAGGCTATAGCTGACCTAGTTGGTGGATCCGGCTAATAGTTTGGAAGAGGTGGTTGAAATTCAATGCTGGTTCCATTAGGACTACATTGCTGCATTTTGCATGTATGTTCAAGCTAGTTGCTCCGCATTTGTACGTTGTCACTAGTACCTGTGTCGTTACCACCTTCTTAGTTGTTGGCGATTGCACCTGTTCGAGCCTCGGCGGCCATACCCGAACAAATAGAGATGAAATTCAGGGATAGAGTGTCTAAGAACACCTAAACCGCCCCTTCTTAACGAAGAATTTGGAGTAGACCTCTCAACCGCAGACTTTCATGCGCCAGGAAACAAACTAAGTCACTCGGTTTGATGGCGGCCGACTTGCTCTATCCTTGTGCGGGCATCGGGAAAGATTGATAATGTCTTTCCACCGCTGCGGCTCAATGACTGTTATTCGGTATAATTAGTTTTGGAACTTATAACTCAATAATATGAACTTACTGGGTGACCCAGGCATTGTGTCGAGAAGTACCCAACTGATACCAGGAGCGTATTTATATCAGACTTGCGCAACTTGTGTATCCCAAGGGGGTGTAGCCAGGTACAAGATTCTCGGATTCAGGCAAGTCAGAGCTCGGGGAAGTTTGCTCACGAGAAGAAAAATAAGAACTACGCTCTCCCAAGAGAGGTGGTGTGATCAAAGGGGTAGGTAAACCCGCCCTCCTTGAGGGCTGACTGGCTAGCCAAAATAGGCCGAGTCCATAATCCCCACCCACTCTGTTGGACGAAGATACTAATATCAGATGTAAGGATATTTCCAGTTGGCCGGCGCAGAAAATTCTTTAGTTTAGTATAAATGCAAAGTAATGAAGACGGCGGAATATGGCCCAATTTTACGTTTTTGCACCCTTAGGATGGATACTTGCGATATCCTGGGTGCCTGCTTCTCCGCTTGTATTACCCTTAGAGAGATAGGGTATCAAATCATAGTACACGCGTTGTGCTCACGCTGTACTTGTTTTATATACCGGAGCTCGACTGTGCTGACCTGGAGTTGAGGGATATCAGCACCGATCGAGATCTCTCTGTTGTTCGCATCGACTATATTATCGCCCATCTTACGTCGGGAGCAACAAAGATGAAAGATGACCGGAAAAATCCAGAAGCCTTGGGCTGCAGCCAAGTGTTCATGCTTGCTGAGCTTGTGCTTCAACACTCCGTCGGTTTGAGCGTTGAAATGGCTCGATGTGAACTGGGATTTGAACTGCACACCGTTCAAAACCCACTCCAGGTCACATTGAATCATATGAAGCAACTGGGAGAGTAAGGTAACAGCTGCAACATTGGGTACCACTTCGTCCTCCGCATCTGGTAGCAACAGGAGACGGAGGTCGAATCCGAGGGCAGTCGTCCTGGAACTTCGGTTTGGCAATTCCAGCATACGAACATGATCTGGTTGGCGAGACTCACAAACCCCTTTGGGGCTGGGCGGTCCCCTGGTCTGATCGAACCCGAAATATATCCACGATGGCAGCATTTTCAAAAGAAGCGCCAGGTAGGAAGCTGGCTCGCCTTCCTCCAAGTCAAACTCCGGGAGATAGAGGAGGAAATTGTGCCCCAAAATCAACAAGCCTAGTCCACATCGGAATAGCGGTTAGGAACCATGTTGCATGGCGGGTGAGTTTCGTCACACTTTGATGTTGATGAGAAAAGATAGTTTTTGACACGGTGACCCCCGTCTAAGATGAATCGAGCAAATTAAGGTATGGACCAGGGAGTTTCCCGCTGCCCCCGTGTTCCGAAAGCCTTGAATGAGTGCCCGGGCCGTATGCAATAGTATCAACAAGGATAGTGCCGACAGAGGCAGAATGGAAGAAAAACTATAGATTGAGCGGAGGTGCCAGAGAGAGGGGGACAGAATGGACGATGAGAAATGGAGAGAAGGGGAGGTGAGAAAAAAATAGAAGGGAAATATGAGACGAGAAGATAAGAAAGAAAGAGGAAAGAGAGACCAAGGAAGGAGCAACCTGACACTTGCCTGAAAGCAGAGCCTCAATAAACACATACATGTACATATGTTATGTAACTATCAATCAGAATATCAACAAAGACATCGTGGACGACGTCTGAACAAAACATTTGAAATTTGAGTTATAAAAGCAAGATAGAAATAAGACATCAACAAGGAGACCTCAAAAGACACATCGAATGATGCTATAAGATGCCATAAATATTATAAAAAAGATATGATCAAGATAGAACACTAAGACACATGTAGATTCTAATATGCCACCGTCTTGCTCACTCTTTCCTCCCTCATAGAATAGAATATTACACGTCGTCCAAGAGGTAATGCCCCGCCAACCCAGCATGTGGCGGGCGTGTTGCTACGATACTTCGTAGGATCTTACGTCTTATATCTAGATCGAGCTAACTAGATCATATCGTCGTTAAGGATAAACGCCGTATGAGCGGCAGATAATCCATGCCTCGGAAACATCAGGATGTATTTCCGTAGATGCCAAAGAGGTAAAATCACTTTGTGATGGTATACTAAGGCCTCGGGGGAAGAATTTTATGACATAGTGAAGTGGTGGGAGGACCCATGGGTAGTAGTGGAGAGACAAGAAGATACATGTCAAGATAATATTCATCATTGGTATTTGAGACTATTGGTTTAACTATGTGACAGGCATATGACATAGCGGTCATGAGGATGATCACAAGTACATGGGGGTTGGCATTGCGGCGCTTATTTGCGCTTTGGCTTGGGCCGGATGAAAGGATCTGTCTCCTTCTTTTTGCGTACCATCGGGGGTCGGGGCTTGGGAGCACCTTGGTTGGGAGCCTATATTGATAAGAGATTGGTATGAGTAATTAATAAGGAAGTCAGCCAAGAACATGGCGCTTACATCTGCTCCTGGTCTCATCGACGGAGCCCTTGTCGGGTCATTTTCGGTCGGATACGCCTGGCCATCGCGAGAAGGTTTGATGAGACCCTAAGAAATTGTTAGTATATATCAAGGCTAGTTATTTGATCCAGTGTGCGGAAAAAACTCACTCCTGGTGGGCCGTTGGTTGGCGGGCCTTTGTAACCATTACGAGCATTGGCCACTGGGTTGTCGCGAGGGGGGCCCGAAAGACCCGGGTGACCACCGACTCTTGAGACATTCGAACCACGAGCAGCCGGACCAGATAGACCGGGATGACCACTTCCCAATGGGCCCCTTGGAGCATTGATTGGGGGTTGTGGCTGCCCGGTACGAGGGCGTTGCGCTTGTGGTCCATCAGAGGCAGATTCTTCACGTTTTCTCTTCGCGGAATTATCAGCAGGGTTCATTGGAGGCTTTGAACTTGTGGCTTGAACAACGGGGATTTTGGGATTGTGTCCTCCCAGTTGACGCTCTCGCTGGCGCTCAGCGAACGAATCTTGACGTTGCTTGAGATTGAACTCGTCTCTCTCAAGGCGAGCTTTCTCGAACTTTGAAAGAACTTTCGTGGACTTGCAGTTGCGGGACAAATGCCCACATTCGCCGCACTCAAGGCACCGTTCAGCACGGCAGGCAACCTTGGTGTGACCAGCCTGACCGCAGCGGAAACAGTTTCCTCGAGCATTTGCCTTTGCCTCGTCATTGTCGCAGTTGTGAGTGAAATGGTCTGCGCTTCCACAGATCCCACACATTTTCGTCGGGTCTAAGCCCTTGCCTCCCCCAGAAGGTCCATCGGGTCGTGGAATTGGGGGTGTACCGCGTCCAGAGGCAGACACCGAGACGGAGCGTGAGTCAAGGCCAATGGAGGCAGATGAAGGTCGGGAAATTGGCGGTACAGGGGGCTCATAGTCGGGAGAGCCCGGGGTTTCTGCAGTGTCAAGGTCGACCATTTCAATCTCGTTGTATCCAGTGAACTGCGGTTTCTCCAGGATTTTCACAATATCACCCTCCGTGTAGACATTTCGCTCCCGCGCGTTCTTGATGAGCCCATTCCAGAACTGGCCCTGTTCCAGGGACTGCGAGTTACCCAGAACCCAAAGCGATGACTTGGCACGGGTGAGACCGACGTTCATACGGCGGATATCAGCCAAGAAACCAATACCCTTGTTGGATGCTCGTACACAAGAGAAGATAATGACTTCGCTTTCTCTACCTTGGAAAGCATCAGTCGTATTGAAATCAACCTTCTTCAGAATGCCTTCGCCGTATCGTTGGGTGAAATGGTTCTTCAGCTCTCTCAGCTGGCCCTTGTAAGGTGTGATGATGCCAATCTTGCCCGCAAAGTCGTATTCTTTGACATCTGTGATCAAACGATCATACAGTTGCATGGCCACTTGTAACTCCGCATAATTGATCAAGGAATGGCCCTTGGCCGCAGATGAGTGCATGCCCTGAACATCGAAGAATCGGTAGGGACTGAGAAGCTCGCTTTGATGCCAGGGACGCTGGCGAAGCTTAGCCATGTCCGGTCCATCCTGCAACTTGCCATCGTAGAACGTCACACTGGGGAAATGACTGATGGCTGGATGCATACGGTACTGGATATCCAGCAAGTGCACGTCATTGGGGTGATTCTTCTGCATGCGGACGAACAAACTCTGTTCATACTGGAACTTGGAGGCCATTTTTGACAGAACCGTTGGAGGCAACTGTTTGGGATCACCGACAAGAACACACTTTGAGCAGCCATACTTCAGTGGGATAAGAGCACTGAGTTCAATACACTGTGCTGCCTCATCGATGATGACGGTCTCAAACTCGACATTCATACCCTGGAAAATTTCATGTCCAGAACCACTGAGAGTAGTGCAGATGACATGAGATTCGTTGATGATTTGTTCTTGGATCCGCCGTTTATGCATATCAGCATTGCGGGCCAGCGTATGGTTCTGATCACGGGCTTTATCAATGGACGTGCTCAGTTGAGATCGCTTCTTTTTCATCAAGTCAAACTCGCGTTCCAGCTCTTCCGGGGGAGGCAGTCCCTTCGCTCGTGCCTCGTCGAGCTGCCCACGAAGCTCTTTGAATAACGTATCAGTCGTCTTGTGCTCTTCATAGAGCTTCTGCAAGTCGACACCATTTCCTTTGCTGGGATCCTGGTTCAGACGGGCATTGACCATCTCATCGAGGGTAACGTCTAACACCTTGGTGTTGATCGCGTCGCTTCTTCCTAGACGAAGGACAGAGACCTTTTCTTGCCGACCATGAGTCGTCCTCACACCTTCCTTCAATCGCATGACTAACTCGTCGACAGCGGCATTACTCGGCGCACACAGGAGAAGCTTCTTTGAGAGGGCATTTCTCGCAGCAGGAGCACCATTGACTTTGATCACCTGTTTCCCAAGCACGTCGCTTAGGAGACTTCCGACAAGTGCGATGATGGTCTTAGTCTTTCCCGAACCAGGAGGACCTTGGATGAGAGTAAACGCGTCGTTGTCAACAGCTGACTTGATGGCTCTTGCCTGGGCACGATTGATGGAGTAATTATCCATGATGGGCTGCAGCCTTGTGTCCGAATAAGTAAGAAGAGGCGAAGGCTTAGCCAAGACAATCTCTTCACACAGATCATAGTACTGCAACGCCATCAGGGCACCGTATTCACGCTCAACTGGGGTCAAAGAAGTGATCTTAGCGGCCCAGGCCTCAGTTCCCGGCCCAAAAGAAGACAGGAACTTGTTACTGCCAGGATTGACCCGATATGTGACCTCCATCTTTTTGTTCTTCCGATTGACACCACAGACACGCGCGAGAACATGGGGTGCATTCGGGTCGCTTGTGAGATTGGGCGAGTTGGAGAACAAGACCAAATCACCTTCACCCAAGCTAAAGTCCTTGGGAGGAAGACCAAGCGGTTGGGTGCTGAATTCGATCCACGAGTCGACAGCCAATCGGGTCATGACTTTGACTTCGAATAGTCGGAAAGAACCTTCGTCCTTCGCCTGTTGGAAACCTTGCCACGCCTCAAGAATCAACAAGGGTTCGAATGTACTCTGGTAGTCATCGGGTGTGCGGAACGTGTTTGAGACCAGGGAATAATCAGTGCGGTCCGAGGTAGGAGGAAGATCGCCGGTTGCGAAAAAGTCCCAGGAGAGGATTGAGTGGTGAAGAGAACCGAGATCTGGAGCCAGGCGAGCCCGCATGTCCCTGACAGACCGATGGCGCTTGACCTTTTTGACAGGTTGCTGTTGAAGAGATTGTTTCTTGCTTAATTCATAGGCCGCGACAGCGTCGGGTTTCTTCGGTTTGGCACCAAAGAGTTCCTTGTCTAATTCATCTTCACTCTCAGAATCAGACTCATCACCAGAGGAGACCATCATGCTATCTGCGGGGGTTGTATGATCTTTACCCTTGATACCAATACCTTTCAGGCCAGAGCCTTGTTCAGCTGTTTGCTCCCCAACGCCATATGCCGGCATGTTCTTCTTGAGTCTGGCGAGCTCAATCTGATCACGCTTCTTCTTGGCTTCCCTTTCCCGTTCGCGCTTCTCACGGAAAGATAGGACGTGGGTGGTGTCATCATTGGATCGTACAGGTTGAACTGACTTGGGGAACATGCCCGGACGGAAAATCTCTGGACGCTGCTTGACAGCCGTTGAGGATCGCATTTTGGCGGCCTTCTCAGCTTCCCGTTTGGCTTGGGTTGCGAGGCGAGCCTTGTTGAATTCGACAGAAGAAGACAGTTCAAGAAGAGTTTGGTCGTTCAAAGTATCATCATCAAAGTCATCGTCACTGGTGATGCGAGAGGAGGGGCTCGAGATATTAGAGGGTTTGGCAAAAGCGGTGATCGAAGACTGTTTCTTAAGAGAAGCAGTTGAGGCAGTGACGACAGGTTTCTTGTAATACGCCTCCAATGAGCGGACTAATTCTGCCTTTTCACGTTGATTGAGGATTGTTTTGATTGTGCCATTGACAGCAACCCCCTCAATAAAGCTCAATGCATCTGGCTTCACAGTGGTCACATTCATCCCACCCAACCTGCGCAGAAGCTTTGCCACCAACCCTACGAGCGTCGTTGCCAGGAACTCATCCTTCAACCTAAGCCATTTTACCATGGCACTCATTGTGGCTGTTGGTGACTTGAGGAAAGTTTCGGATGCAGAGGTCTGCCCCGGATCCGCATTCCCTACAGCTCCCAAGAAAACACCATATTGATCAAAGAGCAGGTCGGCGAACTGGATCGTGTCACGGCAAAATTCGAGCATGACAGTCTTATCATTACCCCGAAGGTGCCATGCCTCGGTCTCATCAAAGATCGTAGTCAATGCCAGCCACAAATACTCCCAGAGCTTCTGCAGCGACATGACCTCCCGGCGATCAGCGAGATTACGAGTTCGCAGCATACCGGTTTGACTGTCACATAATATCTCTACGATGTCTGTACCAGTGTATAGCATTCTTGGGGCGGGCGCAAAAGTCTTCATGTGAGAGATCCGACGGAATGACCAACTGAGGCCGTAGATCGTGGTCGTGAACGAAGATTGGAGGAGGTGAGAAATGGCATCTCGTCGAGCTGACTGTCCGCTGACGGCCTTGATCAGGTCAACCGCAGCTGTGTAGGTGTCATAGTCGGCGGCAAACAGAGCCGAAATCACAGCGCTACTAGTATCCTGACTTCGGAACAACGTTTCGAGGTGCTCGGGTGGAAAGTCTGCGAGACGCCCGATGATTCGACATGAGAGGTTGGTGAGATGGCCATAAATCATGTTGAAGTGGGTCTTCTCCTTGTTCCCTTCTCCTTTCGTGGGAAACATCTCCAGCCCAACCAGGGGCAAGATTCCTAGGAGGGCCGAACTTGACAGCGGCAGATTATCCCGGTGGAGGTGTTTGATGACAGCATCCCAGATGGGCGCAGAGTAGGTAGATACTCCATGTGCGAGGGTACCGTGCTTCAGAAGTGCCTCATAATCGGTCTTCAATGACTGACACTCCAATGCCAAGGTGTTGCGTACAACTTCCATGCACTGTGTGAGAATACCCTCCTGCCGACTTCGCTCGACATCAAAAGTCGGGGGGTTGATGATTACGCTGATCGTATCACCAACCACTCCCATTGTCTCTGCCAGCACGATCCGAGTAACTGTACCCCGGGAAGACTCATTTTCTGTGAATCGGCGTAGGGTCTGAAGGAGGCTGGCCAAGCCAATATCAAAGCAGTGATAGCGTGATAAATTGGGATATTGGGTATCTTGAAGGCGGCCAAGTAATTGCAATGTCAAGAACCGGCAGGCAGACGGTTGGTGGGCACCCTTCAGTGAGCCGAGGAAGGGATTGATCCAGGAGAGCATGTCTTTCAATGCGGACTTCTCAAAAGGCTCGCCCTCAGAAGTTTCCAAGAGAAATGCATTGAATTGTGTGTTGTAAAATGTTTGTTCCATGATTGCTTGGGGAGAAATAGTTTGCATAGCATCCCAGAAGTCAGCCGGGGCTTTCTCAAGGAATAGTTGAATGGTGTTGAGAAGGAATCGCAAGGCCGGCGCAGGTATAGAGAGATGATCCACGGAGAGACGGCAAGGGTCTATTTCCAACCCTCGAAGCTGATGTGTAATCTGCTCTTTGTCCAGCTTCCGAACGACAAGCTGCATGCCTCGCCACAACCTCTGAATGACTGCAAATTGCGGTGGCTGTTGTGACGCAGCTCGTAGTCCCATTAACAGGCCATCACGTACCGCCCATTCAAATTCTTGAGTAGTAGGAGGCCGTGCGTATCGTGTCCATGACTGAACAGCCCAGAAGCTTCGGAATTGATCAGAATCAAAAAGAAAGCGAGAGACTGCAGGAATATAATCTGAAACTTTCAAGCTTCGTTTTGTTTGAATAAGCCTGAATGGCTCATCGAAATATTCCTGCAGGATGCTTTCATTGCGCAGCATGGCTTCACAGCTCAGTGTCTCGAATATTGACAGCAACGCAGCCCTGTCCAAGACATCCAAGCCAATTTTCTCCAATGGGATTTGCTTCAACTGTGTTGTGGCGGTTGTCAAGTTGCGAGTGATTCTCCGAATGTCCCACTCGTCGATTCTCTGGGCAAATGCCTCAATATCATCTTCGTGATAGTTCTCCTCCTTCAGCAGGTCCATGAGCCAGATCTTGCCGATGTAATAATGCTTGATGCATAGATCACATTTCTCCAGCGACTCATCTAGTTTGCCCAGGACCCAGTTCTGATCGTCCTCTACGCCATCCTTATGGTATGCCAGGATGCGCATGGACGAGAGAAAACTCTCTCTTCGAGCTGTTGCTTCGGCCACAATATCCTTGATGGCCTTTCCCGCTTCATCCACTTGTTCTAGATCTTCATATCGTCCATGATCATCGTCGTCTTTCCGGGGACAGAAGAGGTGGGTGGCCTCCGGGAGGGCCTTGAGTTCTCTGTACAGCACGCAATCTGATTAGTTCCAGTTCATTTGGCTCGAAAGCTATTCTGATGCCTACCTAATGGCAGCCAGAAACTCCATGGTGATTGTAGTCTCGAATTGTGGAGAAGGTTGTATCGAAATGACAGAGTGCGGTGCATTTCCTTCATCCCATAGGTAGAGCAGCTAGAACATCGTTTTGCCTAGGAAGTAATACTGATCTCAAAATGATTCCACGGGCTTTGAATCAACTGCCGATGAGAGAATTAAATGAAGTGACAGGAGGCTCAAGCGAAGGACAAAGTGATGTTGATAACAGCGAGGAGTGGCCTCGTAACCGAGTGCCGTATTTGACCCCGATATGCTGATATTTGGTGATGCAAGAAGTGATGGATCGGTGACATAGGTTTAAACACCTGTTTCAAAGAATGAGACTCTATGTCTAGCCAAAGCAAACGAGGAGGAGTGAACAAAAATCCCCAGAGCAAACGCGGGATGCCGAAGTGTCTGGCAGATTATCTCGGCGGTGAAGGTGCTCCAACGCGTAGACGCGCTCTATTTTACCCAACTGGGACAACTATTTAAAAGCTTGGAAGCCGCGATATCTACAAAGTATATAATATAAGACTGCAACGTAGGGCAGATTTTCTTAAGCAGCTACACTTGGAAAACTCAAAACTGTGCGAATGTTAAATGGCCACATTAAGTAATTTCCTCGCTGAGGGCATTGAATAGAATACATGAATGCAACCTCCTATGCCGGCTTGTCCTTTTTCTGATAGAGGAAACAAACAAAACACATGAACAAGAAACAAAAGCAAAAAGATCATCCAACAAGATATAACATCCAGATGGGAACCAGACGACACGAAACCTTCAAACGCGGGTGTCATGCACTTTGCAGGGACAGAAACGCTTTTGTACAAGGGAAAGATAACATAGGCCAGACAAGCTTAGTGTAGAACATGCATCAGAACAAAAAATGAAAACATTGGAGGCAGTGGGTAACAAGGAAAGGGTAAGAGTGAAGGGGGTAAAAACGAAGATCGCGCTAAGCATCCGACCGAGTAAAGGAGTAAACCAGAACGCCTGCTTTCTATCAGGGAATATAAAAGGCTCTCAAAAATAAAAACACCACAGCATATTGCTCGTCAAAATAGGAATGGCGAGGAGAAATCACAAGGAACAAACCAGAAGGACTGATGGGGATAAGTCATCAGTGACGGGTCATCAGGCTCCATGCAACGCAAGATGCGACTCCTCTATATCACATTATGTACAGGAGGATCGTCAGGAGTCCGGAACGGGTCTTCATGTTGATGGCGTGGGGTTTGCGACGATTCCACTCGGGAAAGCATGGCAGCGGAGGTGAAGTCGTTGCTCTGCTCGAAGCTCGGTCGACTCCGGTCAAACGAATGCCGTGTCCGGTCGTGGGATCGGCGAACGTAGTCCACGGACTGTGGTCGCGGATAATGGTCAAGACTGGCGGTATAGTTGGTGCCGTTGCTGCCATTTTGACTGCGGGGGTTGTGGGTATTTGCAGTTGGGGCCATGGATGGAGCATAGAAGGGCCGCTCCTCATCAAGAATGCCAGTGTCCTGCTTCATGGCGGGCTGCACTGGCTTTACTATTTCCGAAGAGGTGGCCGAGTCATCACTGGAAGCCACGGCCTTCGGGCCGCCCTCTTTTGGGGGCAGCGGAGGATCTTCTATGGCATCCAGATACTTGAATTTGCCCAGAGTCACTTGCTCGCGGATGATATCGACATCAAGCGGGAAAAACACCTTCTGAATAGAGTTGAATGTGAAACGCGGAAGCAAGCAAATCACGACAGTCATCAGGAGGACGACCCAGTAACTCAATGATCCATAAACTTCAGCAGCGGAATGGAAGAATTGACCAGAGGAAGTGAAAGAGGTGTAAATGCCGGTCCACAAGAAGATGAGAAGACTACTGATGGCGTTGATCAGAGAAGTGAACCAATCCCACCGGTAAGTATTCATCATAATGTAGAGATTGCTAGCAATCACGGCACAGGACGCGACAAGAACTCCGATGCGGGCTCGGTCGTTGATATTCCGTCCAGTTTCGTTGACGAAGTTTGCTGGCGCGAATAGGAGGTAAGGCATGAAGAAACAGATAATTGACTGGTACATGCCATCGGCCATGTACAACCTGTCCAAGTTAGTTTATCTCGAAACACCTCAAGAGTTGGGGAAAGGATTCTAAGTACCAGAACTTAAGTTGCGACCATTCCTTACGCTCGATACCTCTCATGTACAATTGAGGCACAGCAAGAGACACCTTATCGTCCACGTCCTGATCGAAGATACCCATGAAGATCACGGGCAATGAAGTAAAGGCGAGGTTGACCAACACAATGTAGGTATAGTCGAAGAGATAGGAGCAATCGAAGTCGTTGTAGATACAGTACCAGAACAGAGCGAACGTCCACACAAGATTCTGGGAGGAGTCAGTGATAATACAAAATGATATTCAGTACCAACGCCACATACCTTGTAAAAGAAGTTGGCCGTGCATTCTCCGAGGCGACGGTAAGACCATCTCCCATGCACCAAAAGAAGGCGTTGGAGGTACCGGAACTGGCCAATGGCATAATCAGAAGACATGACGGCTTGTCTACCTTCTTCGCCAGCAATACCGACACCGACGTCGGCCTCTTGAATCATAGCCACATCGTTGGCACCATCACCAACGGAAAGAGCCATGATGTTCAGTCCGTTCTTGACCATGTTCACGACAGCGGCTTTCTGTGCGGGACTGACACGGCAGCAAAGAACAGCCTTGCACTGCTTGCACAGTAGAAGGAATTTTTGCTTCAACTCATCGGACAGCATCAGTTTGAGGGTTTCACCATCGACGACCACGGCATGCGTAGCCTCAGGCGGCGTGTGATCAGCACGGGCAGCAAGAAGTTCCTCGTCAGAACCGGTTAACCCGAAAGTTTTCAAATGCTTGTCGAGTTCGTCAGAGGCCTGCTGGTATTCAGTCTCGGGAATGTTCAGTACAATCAGCTCCATGTTGTTATTGAGCAGGTTGCAAGAAAACCCAATGTTGATGGCAGTCTCAACCTTGTCACCGGTAAGAACCCAGAGTTTGATACCAGCGTCCGCAAGAAGCTGGATTGTATCGGGGACGCCATCCTGAAGTCTGTCCTCAATGGCAGTTCCGCCAATAAGCATGAGCTCCTGTTCAATTTGACTAGAAACTTTTTCTAGTTTCTCCTCACGGTCTGTGATCGCAGCGGCAGCGATATCATGTTCCTTAACCCATGTGTAGTATTCATCCTCACTAAGCAGTCGGTCGGCAACACACAAAGTCCGAAGTCCTTCCCTGGCGAACTCCTCCAGGTGCTCTGCGGTTTGCCGACGAAGCTCCTGTTGTTTGCCACGGGCTAGACGGGAGTAAATTATACTGTCCGCACCCTTGCAGAACAGGCGAATAGTCCCATCGGGCATTCGGATGATTGCACTCATTCGTTTTCTGGATGAGTTGAATTCGAGGGTGTTCAAAACTGTATATGTGCGTTCCTCGCCCATGATATTCAGGAGAAGATCGTCACCGGCTCGGCCCAGAACAGTGAATCCACAATCTCGAGCAGTGCTGACCAACGCTGCTTCGTCGGGAGACTGGGCCCTGAACTCAATTTGAGGGGGATCGCCGGGAGTATGCTCGGTAATAACGGTATGACACAAGGCAAGAGCCAGCATAAAGTCCTCTGTACAGTGCTTCTGCCGGTCTCCGGATTGTCCTGCCAAGTCGGCGACAAATTTCGGGGCAATGAACGTCAGCTGGTCGTCGTGCAAGTAGGGGTTATCATGGATGCCACGCAACAGACCCAGCATTTGCTGAGCATCAGCAGCAATTTGTTGCCGAGCCACTGCGGCCTCTGCGTCAGCATCAGCTCCCTCGCGGCGCCGCATGCCAATCTGAGCTTCCGTGTAAGCTTCTCCGTATGCCAGGCCGTTGACCGTACATTTCTTGAACTCCATCACGTTCTGAGTCAAGGTACCAGTTTTGTCAGAAAAAATGTACTCGACTTGACCGACGTCGTCTGAAATGTTCCAAGACTTGGGTACACAATAGATCCCCAGTTTTTCGTAGTACATGAACAGATCGCTGTGAATGAAAACCGCTTGGATGGTCCGAACAATTTCAAGAGAGATGTAAAGTGAAATGGGAACCAAGTTCTGGAACAGGATGACAGCGGTCCAGAAAGTGACGATACCAGTGACAGGGGGTGTGCCTCCATAGGACTGAAGATCGAAGTAGTCGAGAGATTTGTTTGGCGCGCCCCATGCGATTCCATTCACAATACCTGCGACAAGACACATGAGGAATAGGATGAAAAAGTTGTAAATGACGTTCCAGTTGAGATCTTTTGCCATACGGGGTCGTTTGGCCGGAGTCGCACCGGAATTGAGCATGATCTTGCTTTCTCCGCCGGTGAAGAGGACAACACCCAGGACCCATTCGGTACTCTTCAAATTGCAACCACGGAGCAAGATGTTGTTGATAGAGATGGGCTCAACCATCTCCTTCCGGGGACCTTCAGGGAAACGTGGATCGCGCTGGTCCCAACGCACGGCACCATTGTAAGAGTACAGATTGGCATGCGGGGCCTCACTTTCGATCACAAATTCAGCCTTTTCGCAGTCTCTGGCATGTCGAACTTGACGGCCACAGTGGAGAGCTTGGCGAACCTTCAAGTTGGTCTCTCCATCCAGGCCTTTTGTTTCGACATAACAGGCGCCATCCGGGTCAGAAGTGGACAGAATCACGACATCGGCTGGAATGGGATCTTCGTTGTACAACCGGACAAAGTCACCAACTTGCAGACTTTTCCACTGCTCTCGCTTAAATCGGGCCTTGCCGGGTGTCTGCTTGGACATGTCCAGGACGGTTCCATGTTTCTTGTCCGGCGTAGGCTCGACGACGCTCTGTCGAGCTGCGCTGTTCGGAGACAGATACTTGTTTTCAGGGTTGCTCATCATCGGCCAATCTTCACGAGCTTCAGGCTGAGGCGATGGAACATCGGTCATGGGGATAGCCACGTCTTCGGGGGCTATGGAGTTGCGCTGCGTATAAATCGAGGCCCGGGGATCTGCTGTGCTCAAGAATGAGCCGGTTCTTTGCCCTTGCTCATCATCTCCGCCTTTCTCTTTCTTCTGGAATTGAGAAGTAGTCCACTTATACGCAGTAATCAAGCCCCTGGTACAAGCCTTCTTGACACGACGCCATAAATCAATGTTGTCTTCTGTCGAATTGACATTGTTCCATTCGATCAGTCTGTAAACCGGAGAATTGTTCACTTGGTTGTCAGACACTGTCCGCCCCCAATCCTCAATGGCGTCTTTGATAGCGGTCACAACAATAATAACGATCAGAGGAACGGCGTTCAGACCGGGGTTGTTGGCACCGAAAATTGGAAAGAACTAGAATATGATCAGCCGATGCTAATTGGGATTGGAGCCAGGGAAACAAATATGTCACTGCGTACGTTAAGAATGATGACGAACAAGAAATAGATGTTCGCAATGTTGTGAAACTGTAGCCAGATGTTGTAGGGAACAAAGGTGAGCGCTGTATACTTGGCAGTGCGAATTTTGTTTCTGGGATATGTGATGCGCAAATGACCGTCCTCGTCTCGTTCAGATTCCGGGATGGGAATGCTGAAGTAGATTCTCCGATTTGGTCCTTCTTGCGGGGTCTCGGGTCCGCTATTGGCTGAGATGCTTGTATTGTTCGATTTTCGCTTTTCGTCTCTCACATCTGACCGTTTATGGAAGCGATCAATAATAGAAACCCGTTTCTTGATGCCACCGGCTCCGGGAGCTCGTGTGGTAGCCCATCTCTGTCGTTTCGTGGGCTTGGAGACGTTGCTGTTGACCTCCCCGACATCACCACCTTGCTCGTTGTTGTCCTCTCCATTGTCCCCAGGGAAGCGCACGGAAGCCATCTAGGCTATTGATGCGCCCAAAAAGGGCATAAAACTTGACAAAAACTTTGGTTATTGGTAGCTGGCAAGCATCCGGTTTGGAGGGCCGGAATCCGAGAGCGCTGGGGGCAGAGAAAGATTGCCGGTCTGGGTGCGTTCACAGGGTTTGAGGGCGAAAGAAACCAATGTCATGGGCGACGTAAGTCTCGAGCAAATCAGGGGTTCTAGGGGCGCGTGTTGAAGATGTTCGTGTCGACGAGCTTCGAGAAATTTGTCCCAAACTGTTCAACACAGGGTTTCCGCGGCCGATCGTGATGGAATATGATTATAATGCGAAAACCGAGGGGTTATAGGGCGCACCCACTAGGGGCCATTCAAAACACTGAAGTGAAAAAAAAAGAAAGAGACGAAGCACCAAAGTGGTTATTCTGTGCTTCGAGGGGTGTGAGAGAGAGAGATGGAGTAGCCACCTGAGCTTACCCTCGTATGGATCTCAGTACGGGAGGGTGTGTAATCATGTTACCACCCGTCCGTGGATGCTTACCGATGGGGCCGGGTCAAGATGCCTCTGCTTTGTCATTCAAAGTGGACTTGGCAGGAGATTTTTACACGCGTCAACTGTTATATTGGTATAATTATAGTATGGTTTTGATTGTGCTTTACACTGCCTCTTTCTCTTATTCTAGGCACATTTAGGCATCTTCATTGTTAGAACCAGCAGGCTAAATATCACCTAGGGCTGATGGGCTTGGGTAGTATGCAGCCATGTATACAATCTCGGACTCAAGGGACAATACGTGTAAAGTCCGGTAATTAAAATGTCCAGCCCCGTTCCGAACTCCCCCTTCAAAATTTCTGACTGTGGCAATCGGGGTACTCGGCACTTGAACTCTGGGACGTTCGGAAAATATTGATATACCTAAAGTAGTATATCTTGGTCGCTGGGAGATATTGGTAGGAGAATGGATTCTTTGTTTATTTCGGTCTCCTTTCATATTAGTGCGCATAGCGGCACTGCCACCGCGTCAGCATTATGATCGCTTACAACTAGGCTTAACGGGCCTCCGGGGGGATTACCTACCGTAGGTACGGAAACATAGTATCCGTACGGAGTATTTCTCCCCAGTTCTTCACCAAGAGAATTGCTCCGTACTCCGTACTCCGTACATATCCGTTTGATCCGTATGCAGACTTTGGAGTAACGGTTATTGGCCCACAGCTGTTGTTTCTTCGCCCCCACTATGAACTATTAATTTAACAGCTGGCCTTTTCTTGCGCAAGTTTTCTATAGATACACATGTAACTAGGTAAGCATCAATATTCTTACTAAAGGCGAATTTTCTATGGTAGCACTCATGTAACAAACTTATATGGTTCTATTAGAAAATAACCAGACAAGGCGGAGTATTGTGAGCATGGATTTTCTTATTCCAACTCCCCTAATGATATCAGAGACCCAGAATTCGGGGTCGGCGCATCGATCCTGAAACCACCGACACGGCACGAGCTTCCCGGTCCACCTGAGTCAGCTTTCTTATTTTTCTCTCTTACAACAGCATGTTACGGGTAATATCTGCCAAATTCCCCAAGGCTAGTATGGTTCAAAATATCGGTCCCGTTTTTTTATGTCGCGTGTATTAATTTTTTTATGTTGCAACAGTATGCATCCCGGCTCCTTGTTTCTTGGCAAAAGAAAAAGAAAAAGAAAACTCTTGGCTTCAGGAGAATACTCCTGAACAGGCCCCATGATCAGCGTCTGAGCAGGGTTCGCGGATTGCCCGGGACTCGTGTTCCCCCTTTCTACTACTCCGTACTAAATACACATGTCTCACGGATGTGTTGCTCTAAAAGCTTAAAGTACAGATCTCGAAGCAAGGGTCTAAAGCAAAAGCAGCTACAGTGCGGAGTACTCTGTATACAGTGTGCTGATACAACAACATACAATTCAGGGTGTCGTCAGCCCGGCCGACCACGAACTATACTAGTGGGACCCGATGTTTAGCGTATCATCGCTTTAACTAAACTCAATTGGAGTATTGCCCCTACCTACTAGACTGACACAGTAAAAATATGCATCAGGATGAATTGGCCACTTCCATCGCAAGTTTGATGTCGATCAAACGAAATTTGTACTTCGACGGTTAGTATCCATGGATGGAGTAATAGTAATCAATAGTAGACCGGATCAGCCGCAGATCGACGCCACCAGGAATGTGGCTGTCAGATCTACAATATGCAATATATGTAACATGTAATAATATATAACATACTTCGTAGCCAAGTATGTTTTAGGTAGTAGTTACAGAGTATGTACTCCCAAATGCACACATGTCAGTTCAATTCTCGCAATTTTGACCTTAACATGAGCTCCAATGGTCTCAAAGAGCGGGATTGGGTTAGCGTTTCAAGGTTATCGCCCCATCCAGGTTCCACCCGTGGACCTCGAGCAAAACAAAGAAAGTCAGCTGAGTCAGCAGCGCTCATGTGACATCGCGACGAATGGGCGCGTTCGACGACGCGATATACCTTTTTTTTTAAGCAAACACCTCAACATACCCGGGTATCATCATGCGGACCATAAAAGATTTATGGTTTAATAGGCCTGCATTCACCCATGTCAACTCGAACAGCACACCTGAGAAGAATGAAAGCGCCGAACTCGCAACGGAATCCTCACCCCTCACCGAACCCCCCTCTTCCTTTGTATTCGATCAAATATCACCAGAATCCGAACAAGATGCTGAGGCCCACGTAAACGCGGCGCTGTATCTGTCAACTCAGGATACCCTTCTTCAACCTCCTACATTGCATCAAAGTTTCCAAAGCATTGAGTCGGGCACCGGGGTCTCATCTCTGAACGAGAGCCTCAATGGATCTCAGCGCATCATGAGGGATGGCAAAGAGGTAGTCATCAGCTCTGATGGAGAAGACACAGACTCGATATGCTCGTTGGAGGACCCAAAGAATCTTTTCGCTCCAAAGTCTAAGAAGGACGAGTTCTCACCGGCCAAATTCACCACGAAGATATCATCGCCAAAGAAATACAGACACAACATTGATTCTCTCGTTCACGATGCAGTGGATGATAACGAGGTCGAAGCCAGTGTCGCTCGGGCGAGAGCCAATTATGTGCAGAAGCAACTGAACGGCAAGGAGCCCAGAAATGACCCGTCCGGCGCTGCTTTGAATGAAACCATGTTGATCTCAGCGCTTGGCGAGAATGAAGACGGTGTTGGAGGTCAACGTCTGATAGGTGCTATTAGAAGGACTGATGCTCTTGACCACGGCCGCGCCTGGCCGTTTTTTGATTGCACACAAACATTGCCGCCGGCCCCCCAATTTCCACAGGATCTGTTCGCACCTGGGACGAGTATGGATATGTTACGGGGTGAGCTTCAAATGAGTCGTAGGTTTCTTTTCTACCTGCTGACCGATTTGCAGAATCAAACACTCGCGAGCGCCAGTTCATGTCAGGCGAATTCATTCAGATGGCTTTGTCCAAAGGACTTTTGCCGGACGAATTTGTTTTGTGGATGTTTCGTTCCAGTTCGTCTTACAACATCATTTGCTCATCGACACAAGGCTAACGTGCCTCCCAGTACCCTATGAACGTCGAGAGGAATTGAGCAATGCTTATTACCGAATTATTAAGGTTTGTAAACGCTCTTATATCAAACTCTCACTGGTATTGACTAACTGAATATATAAGAATATGGATGTGGAGCGCCTCAAGTTGCTCATCCGTCCAGCTGATATCAATGATCTTTTCTCTCGACTGGGTGCTCGGAGCCAGGCTTTGGATCCTTCCAAGGAAATTATCCCAGTTCCTTCCCAATGTATGATTTGAACTATCTTGCTTGTGGCTCTGGATCTTGCTAATAAGCGCTGTCAGATATTACACCTGATTCTGCGTTGAAAGACCATGTTACCTTTGTTTCAGTCCTGAAATTACTTAGAGAGACTGCTGGCTTGTGAGTTTCCTCTCCCGAAACCCTGACAGTGCAAGGCTTACAGATTTGTAGATTCGCAGAAGACACCCAAGAGCAGGTGGTGCTCCTACTGCTACGTCTTACTCTTGATGTTTCATTAACAGCGGATTCTATGGTATCTTCGGAGCTTCAGTGGACCATCAACGCTGTGTTGGATCCTGAAAATTTCCGTGAAACCAGTGCCGAAGATTCGGTGAGTATTATCCTATATGTTGTATCATGCTCAAAGCTAATGATACCAGTTGCATCGAGTCTGCGCCACTTTCTACGCCACGATACATGATGTTTGCATCCAGAGTCAAATTGTGCATCATATCTTACCCACATCTCCATGGTTTGCATTGATACGATGTCGCCTGGCCGTTGCGTTTCTGCTACGGAGTCCTAGTCCTCTCACCGAACCCCCTGAAAAGTTGCTTGATATCAAACGTATCACACTGTTACTGCTCCGCGATGAGCGTTTCCAAGTCAAACGATTCAAGGGTATAGCCGACTACGACTGGAGGGAATTAACTTCACTTACTGCTCTTCTCAACGTCGCGATTGATTCGTCTGCGTTGGAGTTAAATTTCAGCAGTACTCAAACTGAGAAAGACTACGACGTTGCCATTGACAGGCTGGCAGCTCAGATCAAGATGATATTCTGCTCTATTCAGGACTCCGGGGCCTCACATGTGACACGTACAGTGGCAAAAAGTGAACTCGAGGCCTTGCACTACCGAATTGTCTATTCAGTTCGGTCCAAGCCACCGCCGAAAACCACCATTTTCGAGTCACATGTAAAGGAGAGAGATGGTAACATTCGGAGCCATTTCAGCAATTTTGCTGCGCTTGCTGCTGGAAAGCAAAATCCCGAGACCAGGCAAGAAACGAATCCGTCTGCGGCGCCAGGCGACGCGGGTAATGGTGACACAGAGATTCCCATCCGCGCGCATGATCCGGTATCCTGATCACATTGGCAGTTTGAGTCCCAAAATCTCCATTTACCCTGAAGAAACAGAAATACTGTGCGAATGAGTTGAGATGTTGAAATACCCAGCTTTTCCTTCTATTACCACCCTATGACTTACGACCCTTATGATCATGCCCTCGAGAGCGACATTCTTCTCCCAAGGGTTTTATTACAGAATACCAATGTAATCAAGAACATGGAATGAAAACGATCGCTAAAAGAGTTCGATCATATTCCAGATCAGACCTAACTGTGCAAAGAAACCCTCTCTGTCTATGAAGATGGCCAAGAGAGGCAAAGATTACCCGAATTATAACACACGAAATACAGCAGTCGCAAACGTGAAACCCAAGATAGAACAAGTAATACACACTTAGTCGTAGAATCTCCGGTTCTGGTTCTTGCCGAAGAGCGTCTCTCGGACTGCAGGGAGAGCATCAATTTCCAGCAGCCGCAGACGCTCCTCGAAAGTGTTGTTGATTTCAATCTTGCCTTGCCCACCGACAATAAACACACCACCAGCACTGCAACCTAGTTAGTCTCCTTGGCGTATATTGGGAGGGGGACGAATAAACTCACGATCCCTCTGGCAACGGCTCCGACTCGTCCAAAGTCACGGTCACCTCCGAGCCAACTTGGTCCTTGTACTCCTTGGCCGCCTCCTCAATAGCCTTTTTGGCAATAGCAAAGTCCTTCTTCCGCGAGCGAATCGCAACGTTATCCTCGTTTAGACAATACAGGCCCTCGAGGACCAGCCCCTTGAGCATGGCCTGGTACTTCTTCTGATCGTCGGCAGCCACCTTGGAAACCTTCTCACGGGCATTCTGGAACAGCTCATCGAGAAGCTCTTGACGGCCACCGAGCACGCGGAGTCGGGTCTTGTTGGCGAGTGTGGACCGGGTGATCTGCTGGGACATGGCAGCCTGCTTGAACTTCTTCTCGTAGAGGGTATCGATGGCCGCAGTTTCCTGGCGCACCAGCTTGGACTTTTCGATCGCAAATTCTTCGTCGGCCTTCAACTGGATCTCTCGGGCCTTCTCAAGGGCTTCCTGCTTGATGAAGGCGGTCATCTTGCGGAGCTCGCCCGCGACCTGGATTCGATGACCATCAGTCCAACTCAAGCTTCCCGAGACTTAGAGTAAACGGCGAACATACCTGATCATCTGAAAGAGCATGGCTTTGTGACATTTTGGCGGTACACTGTTGTATAGCCTGTTGGGGTGGGATGACGTGGGGAAAAGGGAAAGGATGTTGTGTCCAACTAAGCTCGGATTGCGTTGCCTTGGCGTTCCGCATCCAAGTCCACAGCACTCCCCCTCGACAACTTGCTCTTTCGCCCTTTCAACGTGATCCTGCCATTCCCTATAATTCTATCTCAGCCATGGCTTCTTTGCTCCGGTAGTTTCTTCTACTTGATGCGCCTCTCCTATCCCTCGACCCGACAAATGCACGATACGCAACATGGGCAATCTAGGTGACTTATCGCCGGAGGGTAGTGTTGCGGTATGACCACGCAAATCAAAATATACTGCGAAACGAGATCAAAAGCTAACGCAGACATCAGGTTGGTGTAATTGTTGGGCTAATCTCAACCAGCCTCCAAGCTATTGGGCTCACGCTCCAGCGCAAGTCGCATTTGCTCGAGGACGAGAAACACCCCTACGATGTGCGCAGACCCCCCTACAAGCGCCGACGATGGCAAGTAGGAATGGGGATGTTTGTGATTTCCAACATTGTTGGAAGTACCATCCAAATCACCACACTTCCGTTACCAGTTCTCTCGACGCTCCAAGCGGTCAGTAGTTTCCCCTCCATGCACGGCGGAGATCAGTTGCTGATGGGAATGTCGAATAGTCTGGATTAGTGTTCAATACTATATTTGCGACCCTCATTCTCGGTGAACCCTTTACTCGATATTCTCTCGCAGGCACCGGCCTCGTCTGCATCGGCGCGTTGTTGATTGCGACCTTCGGCGCCATCGGGGAACCCGCACATACCTTAGATCAGCTTCTAGACCTCCTCCAGCGACGGCCGTTTCTTCTGTGGATGGGTGCCACTACTCTGCTGGTTGTTGTGGTACTTGTAGTCACCAAACTGCTGAAACACTTCATGCCATCCTCACGCGCGAAACCCTCAGCCTCCGGTCATTTTTCACCACATCTGCTGCGACTGCAAAGCCGAATGAGATTGATCCGCGGCATGAGTTATGGATTTGTCAGTGGTATACTGTCGGCTCACTCCCTTTTGCTAGCAAAGTCGGCAGTGGAGCTTCTCGTTCGCACAGTGGTAGACGGTGTGAACCAGTTCAATCGTTGGCAATCATGGGCTATCCTGCTAGGGATGATCTTCCTAGCGCTCACACAGCTGTTCTATCTCCATCGAGGGCTGAAACTGTGTAGTACTAGTGTACTATATCCTTTTGTGTTCTGCATCTACAACATCATTGCTATCATGGATGGCCTGATCTACTTCCGGCAAGTGTCTCAACTGGCGGGCTTCCACGCCGGTCTCATCGCTCTGGGGACAATAGTCCTCTTGGGTGGTGTCTTTTGCCTGTCATGGCGACTTGAGGATATCGATACTCACGCCGCTGTCATCACTGTGGGTTCCACGCAGACCGGACTTGGGCCGGGTATGGCAATCGTGGAAGGGCACTCTCCAACATCACCTGGGTTGCTTGACGGCCAGGACGAGGAATCACAGATTGGAGAATGCGAGCCACTTCTTAACCCGAAGACCCATACTCGGCATCTTTCATATCAGCGGGGAAGAGCTCCAAGCTTACCACTCAATTTGCATTTCGATCGCGACTCGGCCGATCTAAACCCTGCATCTATTTGGGCTGAACTCGATGATTCGGACTACGAATCCACCGATGGACACAGACGATCCTCATCAGATCGCCTACGCAGCGTCAGTGGTAGCGCAACTCTAAACGGCCCATTACGGGGTCTAACACGACACTCGACGACCGGCGCTACTACACATGATCGCGAAAGGGGATCTCGCCGAATCCTAGGATCACTACGTGAGAACCCATGGCGTCGCACCTCGGCACCTCAGAGTGGGTTATCGGCCGCCCATCGTACACGGTATGGAACCATCCAAGAGAATGCCGATGATAATCACTGGCGCGACGACTCCCCTATCCTTCGTTCGTCTGGCACCAGGTCTGGTCTTCTTGTTGGCTCAAAAAGGGCTCTGTCAGGTGCCTGGAGGTTTGGGAGACAATATCTGCCTCGGTGGAGCAGCCCGCAGGCGGGTAGTCAGGCTGAGATTGACCCAGAAGATAGCTCTTCCTCGTCCCTACTCCCGGACTCCGGTGTCCGTCTTCCACGAACACGTCATACACAGGGAATCCCTGTTCCTGAATATGACACCCTCCAGCCAGCGTCATCCCCCTGACACTTTCCCAATATACTCTTTCCCCAACGACTCCACATAATATCCACCTTCGCTCCGACCCGTCAATCCCCTACCCTCAAGACACTACACTTCGGATTTTTCTTTCTTTCTCGCTTTTCAATGCCCATGTACAGTAGTCCCTCTTCCTCGGACATATAGCGCGCAATTCACTCGTTTTGTTTCCGTCGCTCCTAGCTCCTGGTCGAGAACAGAGCAATCTTGATTTCTCTTTTGCGCTCTGCCATCCACTGTCAAGATACTATGATATGATACCACCCAGTCGATGATATAGCTCCATACGAATGAATATAAGACCCTGATACAATGTGCCCGCGCTCAATATATAACCATAACTACCTAGGTCCACACCATAAGATATACCAATTACCCAAGTACCTAGTACATACTCCACTATGGTGATAATGCAAAGATTCTAAACAAACCAGTCATAATGTCTGACAAAAGTCCCTTGACTGTGGCATTGGTCTCTGATATGCAGGTCAGCGAACTTTCTTCCTCTCTCTCCATGCACGCCAAGGTATATATCTCTACGGTTTGGAAATAAATTGGCCAGGTTTAGAACAAAACACTAGCAGTCATTCAGAATATCAAAATAAATTGAATGTCATTGATTGGAAAGGTTGGGAATATATATATGACAAATCGTATAGTAGCCCTACCTAATATTAACATCCATGGATACTGTTCGAGCTGGACACTTAATACTAAAGTTATACCCGAGCGCCCCTAGAGAACTGCGTTTGAGACCATATATTCCAATAAATACCTAGAAAGTGAGAAAATACCTTCTTGTTAGTGGATTTGCTGTCCCCTTAGGCTGTACATTGTAGTGGGACGTTACGCACTACTTTGTTATACGAAGACATAGTAGACCCTAAATCTACTCATACCATTACGACTATAACAAGCAACAAGACAGTCCAAAGGAACATAATCCGATTGCTCCATACCATACATAATATAACCCAGCCAGAGCCACAGCGGTGCGAAGTCCGAACCGAATAGCATTGAGAATCCGTCGTAACCAAGACAGACGGTCTCATCACGGCATGGAATCAACAAAAACAATTAACACACAGTTTGAGATTAGACAATGAGGAAAGTAACATAATCAGTGGACAAGGAAATAGGTTAAAAACTAAAAGAGCAAAAAAAAAAGACTAGAGAGGAAAAGCCACTTCGCCAACGAGTTTCAATGCACCACGAACACCTCCATCCTCCGCCATTGTCTAGGTAGAGGGGGAAAACAAAAGCCAGATTAGCGATGAAGCCCAGATTTGCCTGCTTGCGCTCTCTTTCTCTTTTCTTGAAGTCGGTTTCTTTTTTTGTGACGGTCATTTTTCGGGGTAAGTTTTTTTTTTTGGTTATTGGAAAGCCATAGTTCTCAGCAAATTGGGGTTCTCCTTTTCCGAGATAGAAAGCAATATCAAAAGGAAAAACCTGAGCCAGTATCATCAAAGAGACACTGGAAGGGGATTCCAGCGCGGTGCTTGACAATTTACAAATAGTCTCACGAGAGTGCCCGGAGAATGGCGCATGCAGATACAGCGCGACCATTTCCGAGGGAAGAGTGGGATGGTGGATCGGCACAGAGGGAGACGGGTATCAAATGAACGCGAGATCGAGGCGCAGGGAGGAAAGAACAGAGAAGAAGACGCAGCATCGGGGACCTTGAGCAAGAAGGACCCCACAGATCAGATCATAATTTAAGCCATTTAGGCAGTGGGTTGGTGCTGGGGTGGCATGCGACCGCCGACCGGCATGGGGTACTGACCACCAGCCTGCTGTTGCTGCTGCTGGAGGTTCTGGTAGTACGCCATCTGCTGCTGCTGCTCGTTGGTCATGTAACCAGGGTGAATACCTGGGCGCATATTTCCCTGGGGTGCGTTGACGTTGCTGTGAGCCACATCTTCGGGGGCTTCGGGGGCGACATCGGGGGCGTCGACACCGTTCTCACTGGCAGCTGGGTCGGGAGCGTTGAGGCATGCCTGTCAGTGTGTTAGTGGCTGGATAGAACAGTATCATTGAAGCAGGCCATGGCTTACCTGAATCAGGTTCTTGCCCTCGGCCTTGGTGACCAGCGGCTGAAGTTTGGGGGTAGTAAAGGTGTAGACAAGGCCGGTCTCGGAGACGACCAGGAGGAGAACTTGAGTGCCAGTCAAGACAGAGAGTTCGTAGGCCTGTAGAGTATCGTGATGGTTAGTTTAAAGTCCCAATCGATCAAATATAGAAGGAGCCTCGATCGGGGAACTGATGTGGAGGGGGCCTCGGGACGCGACGCACCTTCTTCATGATACCGGCCTTCCGCTTGGAGAAAGTAATGTGCCGACGCGACTTATCCTGAATAAACTTGATCTCGATCTTGCGACGCTCACGACCGGGCTTGTCATCATCATCATCTTCATCGTCGGCGCTCATGCGGTTGCGCTTGGGGCCACGGGAATCGGCGCCGTTGCCGGGAAGGTCATCGTGACCAGGGGAAAGCTTTTCGTCAAGAACCGCAGACATATTGGCTATAAAGAAGAACAAAAGAGGTTTTATTATGGGGGGTGGTTATTGATTTGAGGGGGGGATACCGAAAGGGGAAGGCAAGAGATGACCCAATCGAGTAACGCGTTTATGGGATGTGAGAGAAAGGGAATGGGGGAATTGATGGGGGGGGGGAGAGCGAAGAAGGCAAAGTGCGAGTTGCGATGGGCAGGCGGTCTGTTACGTGGATCACGTGCGTAGTTGGTATTAGTACAGTTTGTAAGGTCAGATAAGTTGGGGTACTTTTATTGCTAGTAAGTTTAATATTAGGCAGAAGTACCGCTACAATTACTTTTGTATTGTCTTGTAATTGAGTTGTATTCGCCTCCTCCGGACCAGACACGATTCTTGGCTCTGCATGGTCATTGGCTGATTTCCCCTTCGGCCCCCCCGTTTGCCATTTTTTGCCCTTTTCCCCTCTGGTCTGGACTTTTTTTTCCCTTTGTTGCTGATTCCAAGTCCACGGGTATTGCGAATTTCTCGGACTTCCCAATTTTGGTTATTTTGGTATTTCTATTTCTCGTCTTCATTTGAAGTACAGAGTACCCAAGTGAGAAATATAGAATATCAAAAAAAAAAAAAAAAAAAAAAAAAAAAAAGAACATTACCTTTCTATACTTAGTACTCCATTCCATTCCACATGCCTCGACGGGGCAGAACTTGTCACGGTCCGCTGCTATGTGATTGGCCATTCCACCTTTAAACATGCCTTATGAGCATCCCTCATTGTCTATCAAGACCCTACTTTGTATATCATAGATCCTATTTCGAGGTTACACCTACAAAGTGGAATAAAAAAAAAAATAAGAATAAAACTGTGCTCACATCACACAGGCGCGGGTCGCACCTGCTTTGTGGCACGGAATAATGGCCATGTATACAACATACTCGCATGGCTGCATTCAGAGTACATCGTAATAGCCCAAGAGGGCACCCATCCCTGCCACCACTCTCTTATCTCTCTTATAGCCATTCCCATTCCTTTCTGAGTGCAACCACAAGAACCGACCCCACATTCATCATGGCACGTCAAAGTACGGAGTACAAGGCCACAGTCTCGACACAACAATAATCCCAGATATCTCATATCCCCTTACACACACATGCATGCCTTGCATGGAACTCGTAGAGCCCCTAGAGATACTATTTTGGGGTCTCACCGGTGTAGATTTGCTAAGGTACACAGAAATCGGGGTGGCTTGGTCAGTAGGCCTTTTAACAAAGATCAGGGGTATCCAGTCAGGGCTTGTTCCGTGCTTCTCCTATTATTACTCCTACAAGAATAGTCGGCCGCTTATGCGGCCGTGTCGAGTCTTTTTTGGTAGTGTTTTTTGGTAGTCTTTTATGGTAGTCTTTTTTGGTAGTCTTTTATGGTAGTCTTTTTTGGTGGTCTTTTAGATGTCTTTTTAGTGGTCTGTTTTCATAGATATTTTCTCCCTGTTCTCAGCTTGTTAGCTAGACGCCAGAAGGGCGGGAAAGAAAAGCATACTTTGTGCAAGAGACTTTTCTACTACGGAGTACAAACCTACAATATCTTCTCATCAGGTGATCTGGGTTGATATTGCTCTAAGCACAAAGTCATAACATTCATTCATTGCCCCTTACACCCCACCCGGAACCTGTCCAGATGGCTACCACGCGGTTTATTGATCACATCAGGAGCCCCAGGGCAAAGATCGACCGCTGTTGACTGTTCATGAAAGGAAAAGAATACATCCCATCGAATCCACATAGCAACATTAAGCAACCAAAGCCGATCAACGGGCCGATCCGAGAAGCCCTAGACCCGATGCAGCGGAGTCCAGCTCGGTCACTTTAGGATTCCTTCCTACATACCAAAGAATACCCTACACAACACTAAAATGACGAAAACTGATCATATTCTTCACATAATAAACAAAGGTCCAACGCTAATCACCAACGGAGACCCCAAACCGGGTCTGCTGTCAAGTCTATTTTTACAGAAAGGATGCAAGGCATAGGGTACAAAAAGTGGCTTTCCCCCAAAGCGCACTTAAGACCGGAAGACATGGAGAAAATAGGAAACAAGGAAAGATAAGAGCAAGGCCAAACCGATTAAGTGTGGCAAGTCTCGACCAAGGCCCGCATAGGTCCAGGGATAGGGAGGAAGACGGTATCAAAAAAGCCACGGAACATTTCAAAAATTGGAATACACCGTCAGGATATAGAGGGAGCACGCAAAGTCGCCAGGTTCCTGCACCGTACTGGAATCCGCATGCAACGCCGGATAAATGAAACAGAAACTGGAGGACGCGGAGGGCAAGTCACGATCAATCTCTTCTGGAAAAGAAAAGGGCTGTTGGGTTGGCCACTTTCGCACTCATATTGGGCTGGTGTCGTGAAGTCGGGACGAAGAAAAAGAAGATGTGTAGTATTTTAGAAAATAAAAGAGCTGAATCATGTGCAACGAAGTGAAGAGGTACGAGCAACAGTCCCAAGGACCAGCCTCAAGTAGTAACGGTGCAATTTTATTGCTGGTAAGTGCCGCGAAGATAATGGTCACTCACGCCACCGCCACCGCCGCCCTTGGGACCGAGCCAGACTATCTCAATCACGCTGTGGCCCTCATCTTCTTCGCGAACATAGAATTGGTGCACGTTCTCACCAACCACGAATGCATCACGGAGCAACCACCGATCCTTGGCAACACCGTCTTCCTCTGCGGGACGCAGGGGGCCCAGGCGGTCTTCATAGCCGCGGGGGTCTTCGGGCCAGGTCTTTTCGGTAGCATCGAAGTTGATAGCATCATCCGGCACATGCTCGCCGTACGTGTACTTCACCAGCGAGTAGCCGTTCGTCATAACCCAGAAGTGACGGAGAGTCTCGCCAGTAGCGGCGTTCACAGTCTCCTCCTGATCAAAGACCCAGCGACGGAGAACAGACTTGCGGCCTGCGGCAGCAGAAACGGTGGTCATCTTGACCACGTCCTTGCTGTACCAACTGTTCCAGTGGTGCATTGATTCGATCTTGCGACCGGACTCGTAAACGCCGTCCACGGGGTCTGCCATATCCATCTGGTAGAGCGAAGGCCACAGGGTCAGGGGGTGTCACCGAAGCGTTGGATACACTGGCCAAGCTTCTGGTCACCAGGCTGCTCGCCCCAGGACTGGCACTCATCGTAGTGCTTCATCAGGACATCCAAAAGAGGCTTCGAGACAAACACACCGGCACCACCGAATGCAATGTGGCCAAAAGTATCCACCTGCCAGCTGGCCTCAGACAAAGATCCAATGTAGTGCTTCTTGTTCTCATCAAAGAGCTTCAATTCCTCGGCGATAGTGGGGAGCGACAGGAAGAAGGTATCGTCGTCACTGAATCCAACCCAGGTGGTGTGCGGACGGTGTTTGCGAATGTGCTCGGTGAACGCCTCGACCATACCAAAGTAACGGGCAGTGAAGTCGAGCGGAGAGGCCTTGAGGGTCAAGTCCAGACCGCGGTTGCGGAAGTAGGTCTCTTGTTTCTCCAGGTCGTCGTCAGACTCAGGGACCAGAACAATCAGGCCGGCCTTGGTGTTTCCGTAGGAGTAAAGCAGAGAGGGAAGCAGGCGATCCAGACGGTCGACAGTAGTGGCCAGACCAAACAGAAGCTTGGAGGTCTCCTCGACATCGTCATCGGCGGCCACATCGACGTCGATGATTTCGGGGCAGACAAAGTTTTCCGGCTTGTTCTCGGGAGACACGACCATACCGCGCTCCATGACAACCATGGGCGGGAGTACAGGCTTCTCGATTTCCTCCAAAGTGTGGAATTCGGTGCGAGGGTTCACATGACGGGGACGGAAATAGGCGCGAGTGTAGTTCTTGCGTGGGAGCCATTCAGGGAAGGGAAGGGGGGCGGCCAATTTCGGGTCAGCCTCACAGGTGCTGCTGGCCGACGGCTGCGAATCAGATTGTGCCGGCGTTTGTACTTGAGGTTGCTTGTTTCCACCGAAGGTGGCCCGATCAATTGGGTGCTTAAACCGAAGGAAAGCTGAGCGGTCGTAGCGTTCCATGCAAAAGAAGAATATTCCGATAGTCACCAGAGCCACCAACGGGAATACCGTCTTCATCCGAAATAGAGGCATTTTGGATCTTCCAGTATTGAATGACGACTTTTCAAACATGTAAATAGAAGAAGGCGAGGCGAAATCGGGGCAGATGAACCCTGTAATTAAAAGTTATGGGTTCGGCGTGCGAGGTGTCGTATCCCGGAAATATCGTGCAGCAAAAGCTGGTAGCAAGACGCAATTCTCACTTGAGGGAAAAGTCAAATAAACGAGTGTTCCAAGAGTGGATTAAAGAGTGGCAGGCAAATAAAGTGCCGAGATATTTCAACGAGAGGCTGGCAGCGTCGGGACCTGCGACACGGTCCAAAGGAGGGAGCGTTTGTAAAGGGGGAAGTAGGAGGACTGAAAGAGAATAGAGAAGCAGGACTAACGCGGCTGGACGATGTGCCCAGTCCGAGTGAAAAGTCGATGAGAGCTTGTAGGATTGTGTCGTGAAGGTGTTGTAGGAGGAAAGAAAAAGGGAGGCCGCCGAAGCAATTAACGGGACGGGGTTGGACGTGTATTGGTATTACCGTAATATATTATTTAGGTCTTTTCTTTTTTTGAACTTCCTTTTTCTATCCGTTTTCTACATCGATGTACATGTGTACATATCTGACGTTCACGCTGTCCGCTGTTTTTCATTTAATATGCTGTCTTCAGTAATATCAGAATATATTGCAGCTGAATATTGACCTCTTGGTATTCATCCCCCGGTTTCGGTGTTGATGCCAAGTTGGGATGCAGGAACGAAGTTCTTCGACGGGACCATCGTAAATGATATGTGTGGCTTATACTCCGTGCTTTGTTTCCCCTTTTGCTTCGCTTTACCTGTTGAATCTAAGTGTCGATCATGACGGAAAAAGGAATGCTGTTGGTTGGGAGTGATCATCCCCTCCCAGCTTCAGTGGAATAATACGCCGCGATGATCGGCAGTGGGTTTTCTATTTATTTTCAGTCTCGAGCACAAAATTATGATTTTTGTCTAACCTGGGAACAGGTGTGGTTGTTCAAGTCGGAAATGGTCATATGGCTCTTGGCACTTCAAAATTAACATGTTTCAATGTATCTTCAAGGTCGTGAAGGCCGTTTGCGGCGACACATATTTGGATGCAGGCTCGCGTGAAGATGCCGATCAGCGGTTTGGGGCTCATACATAAATTTGTATGATAGGCCAGAAACTCATGTCTACTAATAACTCCGATTGCTCTCTCCCTCGCGTCTCTATATGTATGTTGTACGAGATAATGATTACTTGTATCTGCATATAGATACTACTATGTATAGATACGCTATGTACCCGAATTCGTCGGCACATTGCACCTAGCTGACTGCGCCTTTCTGAGCCTCGATCATTCAGCAATCTCGGACAATATAAGCGACTAAAACCATTCCCATCCCGAGACCCCATCATGATGATGTGAACAGTGAACATAATAACTACATTAGAACCGGAGATCACGTCACTGTTATCAAGTTCTAAGGTTGGCGCTCGGACCATCAAAGTAAAGTGCCGGAACTGGCCTGGGAAAGGGTTTGTATAAAAGTTGTGCTAACTAAGAACTACCTACCTTGACCCTGTAGCAGTATCAAACAATGGAAAGGACAGGTATACAGCAATTGTACTCCGTATTAGAGGCGAAAAAAGAGCCAGGGAAATGATCAGAGACGATCGCCCTCGCACCCAGCCGCGTCAACCAGTCAAAATTAGCCGGAGGGGCAAATGAGGCCAACGCACCCCCCCACAGACACGCGTCCTCCCCTGACGATATACCATAATGCTGGGCGCTGGTATTCGTTATTCGCCCATACATAATATCTGGGTAGATTTTTAGCCCTTTATCTAATTTGTTTCGAGACATTCCAATCCAAGGATGCTCCAGAATTTGCACATAGATATTTATATAAGAGAGAAGTTTCCACAAGAGAAGGAGAGACCCTGAAACATAGAAGCTTATCGGATAACGTATTTCCAGTGGCGATAGCATTTCCTGGCCCATGGATTTCACAGCCAAGTGGGCCGAGATCGACAACCATTTAAATGGGAATTTTAAATTGGTGGTTTCTGTGATCTATTTTGTTTCATGTTTCTTTATATATATGAATTTGACTGAAGTTATCCAGGGATGACACTGTATACTGTTTCAGTTACAACATAAGTACAACGTGCGGAGTACATAGTTATGTAACTACGGAGTACTACTTTGTATGTTTGTACTCCGTACCCCGAACATCGATGTACAATAATAATACTGAAGGCACCTGAACTGTGGAGAATCATCCACTTCTGTCCAGGCCCATAGCCATGGCATTTACTACGGTACAGATAGTTACGTACTAATAGGGCACGCGTTCCAATTGTCACGGTTGCTTATAGCATCAGAACTAATTCTGTCATACCTCGTGTATGTAAATGTGTCCAGTGTATCAGATTAAAAACGCCGTGTCAGCACTTACGAATCCCCTAGTAATACATAATACAATCCCTGTGATTGCACGAAACAGCCGCTAATATAATGCAAAAGATATGCCGGTCATTTTTGTGGCATTTTAAGCTTGAATGGTGGGCTTGGCGTTGCTGTCACAGCGGGAAAAGGGGGAGATTTCCACGCTCAAGGGTCTTTCTATCAATAGTACATGTATTTCTGTAATCTGACTGTAAAATGAGGACTGGTGCATCTCTTTCTGCGGTGAGTTTTGCCATATTGAGTTTGGCAATACGCTGCGTAACCTTTTCCTTCACTTTAGGTGTAGACATAGTAGAAAGGGCCTCGAATTGCTTATTCTCCATCATCTCTACCATCCACCTTGACATTTGAGATCCCTGGGTTGCGTTTAAACGCGCACTTATTTCCGAGAGCAAAGCTCATCATCAAAATACATGTACCTTACCCCTGCTGGAACCTACTAAATTTGGCAAGTGTCTGGGAATTTTGCCACCAGAATAGCATAGATCGTCTATACTTGTAATATTAGAATGTTGACGTTCAATAAGTTGCTTTGAAGGCCAGAAGGGACTACATTCAAGGCTTTCTAGAAGGTATATATTGCCCGTACTTCAAGACTGCACTGAGTCTCTTGAGGATTCGGCTTCATCTGATTCTGCAGATAACTCGCAAGATAAAACAGTCATGGTTTCTTCCTCGCCCAGGTCCCATGCTAGATCCATAGCACTTTGACCATCGCTGTTCACCAAGCTGGAATCCACACCCGCATTACGCAACTCCGTGATCGTTTCATCGCCTATCTCTCCACGCTCACTCCGCACTGCTAAGTGCAATGCTGTATTGCCATCATTATTCTTTGCCATAAAATCGGCCAGGCCACCCGCCACCAGAATACGGACCCCCCAGAAAAAGCCCGCTCGTGCAACCATATGTAGGGGAGTTTCACCGTTGATGTCTTTCGAATCAGGATCAGAGCCGGCTTCAAGCAGGATCTCAAACGCATCTTCGGCAACGTTCAAATAAGGAGAACATGCCATGTGAAGTGGAATTCGACCCAATGAATCTTTCGACATGGGGTCAGCTCCTCGCTTGAGGAGGAGTTTGACTGTCCCCTCACGATTTTGGAATTCTGCTTGATGCAGCACAGTGCGACCAAGAGAGTCTCTAGAATCCACCTGAGATCCTCCTTCCAGGAGCCATTCCACCACATTTTCGCAATCGTGAAGCTCACCGTGGTCTCAGTCTCCAGGATATTGGCCGTATGGCCATCTGTTTTGATGACGAATTGCGTGGTCGTCCGCCCATTCAACGATATGCGGCGGCAAAATTGCCCTTCCGTTAGTATGACCATACTCAAGGGCTCGAAAAACTGGATCAATGCCCCTCCAGTCTATAGAGCCGAAACTTGCACCTTTATTGCGCAAAAGCTCTATCATTTCGTGACCACCAAAACTCAAAGCCCAGTCAATGGGAGTCCGGTCATGACAATCACGAGATTCTAGACAGGCGCCTTTCTTGATAAGACGCTCAACAATTGCGCAGTTATTGTCCCTAACTGCTAGATGGAGTGGCATCTCACCATTCGGGTCTATGGCGTTCGGGTTCGCTCCATTATCCAGTAAGAGCTTGACGGTTCCCTCGCAGCCCAGGAATGCAGCAATACATAGTAGTGTGCAACAATTGAGGTGGCCTTCATGGCCCACTTGAGGTGAATGCGAGCTGAAGTCTTTTAGCTTCTCACGTACCATCACACGGAACTCGTCAAGCGGCATGGGCTCTTGTGCATTGCCATTTGCATCCAGGCCATGGGGGTTCACACCATATTTCAGCAAATTATCAACCATGTCGGCGCGGTTCAGGAATGCCGCCATCCATAATGGCATGAAACCATACCGGTTCTTCAAGTAAAGGTCTGCACCGTGCTCTAGTAAAGCACTAGCCACCGTACATTTATCTCCCGGGGAGCGTTTTCTTGCACCCCTGTAAGCTCTGGCTACACAATGAATAGGTGCATCACAAATGGTCTGCTATGGCCAACAGAATTTCATTTGGCAAGCTAAGCAGAGCCATGATATTATAATAAATATCGAAGGAAAAGAAATGGGATCTTCGGTGTGTTATCTTACATACAACAGCTCTTACATAATATTAAGCCAGATAAATCAGATCCTTAAACTTGAGTCTACCAGACAAAGGTCAGAGAAGGAGAGAGTTGTATAAAGGGAAGATGAACTCGGAGATGGGGCGAAATGATAACCTACGCCTCTGCCCCACTCTGATCCGGTGGGCTGACATCCGGTGGGCAGCCCTGGAGGAATGTACTCGTCCATGTCCATAGGATAACCTTTCACATCACCTTTCTAGGGAGCAAAATTGAAAATATGCAGTTTCAATGTCAAGTCCCCGGCTGTACCTCGAGCTACCGTCGTAAAGAGCACCTCCGACGCCACGAGGCGCAACATCGTGGAAATCACCTTCGCACCTGTTCGATTTGTGGTCGTGCCTTTTCTCGCAGGTAGAGTGATCCATGAGTTCAGATAGGATTGATCATTAGATAACGGATAGCTATGCAGTGACAGTCTTCGACGTCATATTCGTCGCGATCATGAAGTCCCCGGACAGTCTCTCGCTCGCGCCACACAGGCCTGCAGGAGATGTCGTACGACTAAAACACGGTGTCAGGGAGGCTTGCCATGTATAGAGTGTTCTTTGAAGGGAGACTTGTGTATCTTTGATGTCCCCGATATCGAGCCCGCTCAACCCGATCCCGAAGAAGAACTCTGGGAGTCCCTCGAGAATAACGCCCGAGTTAACCATTACATACATCTTTACTTCGCACATTTTCATCAAAACTGGCCGATCCTGCATCAACATACCTTCAGTGTTCCTGACGAGCCCCCATTGCTGCTTCAGGCAGTGTTAATGATCGGCCTCTGGGTCAGTGGGAGCCCGGCGGGGCGGCAAAATGCTCGGAACTTGCATTCCAAGCTAGGACTGGCGATTTCGTCGCAGCGGGTAAGTCACTCAAAGGCACTAGCTTGATCTAAAATTTTGTCCAGTTCATTGATTGTTGATTCGCAGGACAACTGGGAACGATCGCCGGTGGAAGGGGAGCACGATAACGAAGGTTCAGGCAGCCCAACTTCACGATGGCCGATTGCAACCTACCAAGGCATTCTTCTCTACATCATATTCTCATTACTGGCATCGATTCCGATTGGTCTCGAGCTTAACCTCAGCCTGGCCTTACCTGTATCCGACCGTCAAATCCTTTCCGCTCTGATCGCAACCTGTTTGCGAAATAACATCTTCTACTATCCTAATATGCTTACAAGGTACCAACACGTGGAGTCCATTACCTGCATGTGGGTGGGAGTCGAAGAGATCAAAAGGTTCGGTTTGGCCTTGTACAAGGTCTCTCGGCTTTGTGGAAGGGGGAGTTGCTTGGAGGAGTCTGATGAAACTGATGGTCGACTTCTTCGCCTCTCCGATCTACAGTTCCCCGTGCCAGATAGGAGGAATTTTTGGGATGCTGGATCGAATGCAGAATTGGCTCAGCGTCTTTTGATATACTCTAGAAGAGAAGATAAATCGGATGACCCTAGGGATACCAGTTGGATCTCACAAAGTGGGATTTTATTGGAAACTGACGAAAATTGGTGGAATTGACTCAATGACGATTTTCTGGTTTGAAGAATGTCCTACTGCGTTATATGTTGTTCATGAAACTGGAAACTGCTTTTTGTCACAACACAGCTATCGTGGATTTCCATTCTTCTGGGCACTTGGCTAGTGAGAGAAACCTTTGGCCAAGAGTCTGTATTGGGACTGAAAAGAAACCGTATGTATATGTATGTATACTGCAATACCATTATATATTTTCTCGATATTCCAGTATCCTACATCGATGACAATTTTGCCAGCGGAATCAAATTAAGCCTTCCACTTCTCGCACGTATATTATGGCTAATCAAGGTCAGTGAGCGGAAATTCACAACCGTTTTAAAAGAATGTTGGTTTAGATTTATCACTGTCACGCTTTAAGTTGGCTTACTTTTAATGTGAGGAGTCTCCCTAATCGAGTTTAACCATCTTACGTGCTGAAAGATGAGGGGATCAGTTTAATGTAGAAGAGATCTGAGTCGTCCATAAGATGTATGTATAATAGACCAATATCCAGTCCACTAAATCAAGAGCTGATCTCACTCTCAGAGACAATTGTGGCAAAGCCATCGGCCAATTCACTGAGAACCACAGAGACTACCGTCTCCGCATTTGCACCAGGGATGTTGCGATCGCCCACAGCATCCCGCACAACGAGCACATCATATCCAAGCTCACTACCAGCACGTGCTGTGGTAGAAATGCAAACGTGTGCCATGTAGCCAACCAGTACAATCTTCTGACCTACTTCTCCCAGTCCCTGCAAGTAATCATGCAAATCGGTCTTGGCAAAAGAACTGGGGAAGTTCTTAGTGACCACTTTCTCGTTCGGCTTGGGCGTCAGTTCTTCAAATTCTTGTGCGAGAGCAGTGCCCGGTGTGAAGACAGGTGCGCCGGCAGGCACTTCGTGGACGACGTGGACAATATTCTTGCCATTGCCGTCCTGTCGGTATTTTTCCAGCAGCTTGGCAATAACCTTGCGGGTTTCGGCGACTTTTTCAACCACGAGAAGGCCTGTGGCATACTCGTTTTGAGCGTCGATAATGATGAGAGTCGAATCACTGGTGGAGGCAGAGGAAGGGGGAATGCCGATGAGTTGACGGAATGACTTGACGGTGGAAGACATGATAAAAGGTGGCGGTTGGTAAAAGGATGATCAAGTATGGAGGTTTTGTTATTTGAGTTGACGGGTCTTCGATCTGGGGAAGTGGTGGTTTATATACGTAGAGGGTGCTGTCCAGGCCAGACAGAGTGGGGCCGGTGGGCTTTCTCCAGTCTGTGCAGCCCACCGGGACCTTAAGTAAGAAACTCAAAAGTGACACCTTATGACAAATGTGACCTCGGGAACCTCGGGGGGTGAAGTGAATAGTCGGAGAAAATAGTACCTTGTATATAATGCAAAGAAGACGGTGTCCGCATCGGTAATGAAGTCGATGGTCTATTTGCTACAAGTTGTGAACAAATTGACGCCCAGTGAAAGGCCGAAGGACCAATTTGCGAGCATTGGACTCTTTGTATAGTTTTGTGTCAACCTCTCACTCTACTATTTTAACGTATTATTACCAATGACAATATTTGCAGCATAAGCAGAAGCTGATTCTTAGTTTCGATTAACAAGAGTTGCCGTCTTTTGGCCTCCCGCGTAAGTAGTTGATTAGTCTGTTTGAAAGCAAACGAAGGCATTTTGGGGAGTCGATATGCTCAGTATGAAACGGAGAATCAGACTATGCCTTTGAGCAGTACTTCTCTTTCTGGAACTTCCTAGGCTCATACTCCTGTAAGTCACCCAGACAGGGTGCTACGAATAGACTGCGATTGAAGACGCCTTTCAGTGTGAAGAGCGATACCACAATCCATAATAACAGAACACAAATGGATAGTATCTAAGATGAGTTAGCCAATCGAGGATGAGACATTTGGCGTTGAAGTAGCGTACTGTGCCTAGGACTTTGAAGAATCTGGAGGGCATTTCTCGGCCCAGTTGGTTCGTGCAAGTCGTAAAGACGCTGAGCGGGAAGGTGAATGCCCACCATCCGAGGTTGAATGGAAATCTTTTCAACCGAATGATGGCTGCCACTGCAAAGAACAGCCATAGAAAACCAAATGACCACAGGAGAAGACCCATCAGCAAGCCGATGCCGTAGAACTTATCGCCTGCTCTGGATCTCAACGTTCTTGTAAACGGGAAGACCTTTTGTGCAGCCACCCCTAACTTTTGAATTCTGTGCAGAAAAGAATGATGCATTAGTGTGTGCCTCTGACACTTTGCAGCCATTTCGAAGGTACTCACGCAAAGCCCCCTTGACCACGAGGACCAAGAGGCAAGAACGTGCTAACAATCACTACTTTTTATGGTAATTTGTACAGCATGAGGCGCATCAAATAAATGACAATTACCATCATTGCCAGGGGCACTCCACCACCCCATAGAACATAGCTCACGATGATAGTCCCTAGAGCATGCTGTGGATCCGGGAGCAAATCAGCCACAATACCTCCCGATGCCGCCGCAACGACACAAGACACAATGGGAAGCAGCCAAGCGCCGCCCATCGCCTGTAGCTCGATACCGGCCGTTCGAGTTATCCTAGAAACCGAGTCGGTCCTAGTAGAACTTTCAAAAAGGAGTTGTATTTACACCATACATAATAAATGGTATCCCGAAGCATGTTATGATAGAAACAACAGCATCTGCAATCCACAGAGCCCAGGCAAAGTAAACAGTCCAGTTTCCCCGGGCTGGTACGCAGATATAGCAATTCATATTGATGATTGTAGCAAGTCCCATAGAGAAAGTTCCAAGGAAAAGGGATTGTGTGGGATGAGTCACCATGAGGTAGACGATCTTCGGGTAAAGGACATATCGCAAGATGGTTATGGCGGCGAAGATGAAGAGGAGAATATTCAAACAGAATATCACCACTGATATCCAGTATAACCATCTGCTATTATAGGGTAAAGTGTTGAGCAGAATAGAAGTAATCCCGGTGCCCATATTGACCGAGAACCAACTTGATTAAGCAGAGTTAGCAAAGTCGACAACCTACGCTCGAGACACATGCGTAGGTGTGAAATTCCGCACGAGATAGCGCCAGCCATCATTATGCTTCAACCGTTTTGTGTAAGAACCACCATTCTCACCTTCCAGTGACTCTGCGGTATCATTTATGTTGGTCAACTGTTGAACTCCTTTCTTATTTTTTGCTCTGTACTTCCTCAAACCCGGCTTAGCCAAGACTTTCCCTACCGGTACCCAATCCCCTCACTCTCTGTATATGGGAGGTACGGTTTCTGACGGCAATTTACCTGAAGGCGGCCATCCTATCAAATTCATACCACACGAATATGAACAGTTCTTCCTTCATAACAATGACCATAACATTTATACATACACCATAACATTCATACATATAATAGTCACAAGTTCTACTGACGTATTACTTTAATCGTAGTACATACATCAAAACGTAGAAGAAGCCGAAGAGAGGGGAAAGTCAGCGAAAGCAGAGGTGGAAGTGAAACAAAAGAAACATGAAACTGAGGTCAAATCAATTAGGGCTTACACCTGAACCAGCCGCATCCCAACTATAAAAGGCCTCCCCCACCAGATCCAATCCTTGGTCCTTCCTTCTTCCTACCACGCCCCGCGCCTGACGTCCGGAAACGGACGTGGGAATGTTGCCCAGTTAAACCATGATCATCTCTACCATGTGTTAGCAGCTTCCCTGTATCGAGGCTCAACAAACACCGGCGCAAGCACTCAAGATAACGCGGCGGCAATGGACTGGGCAACATACCGACAACTCTCACATATGGCGTTTCACCCCAAATTACAGCAATTCCTACAGCACTCGGTAGGTAATGTGCTATCAGCTAAGATTAATTCGTTTGGCGACTGGGGTGATGATCGAGGATTTGGACTTTTTTTTGCCCGTACTGTTGAGGATCGGTCGGTCGATCTGCCGACTAACCGGATGGCTGTGGCGCGCTACCTGGCACATGACTGCCCACGACTCCGTTTTCTCTTCTATCTGCTTAAGAGTGAGGGATCGCAAGCCGAGTCAGGGACCCGCCCACGATTCCTCATCTATTGCAACTGGCCCTACACCCGCTAGGTCGTCGAGATGTTCCTTGCTGCCATTGGGCTCGACTTCGTCGTTATTCGCGCTGGCATAACGCTAGAGGCCCGGGCAACAGCAATTGAGAAATTCACCAACCCTAATAGCCCCACAGTTATCCTGTTAACGACATTTAACTGTGGTGCCCTCGGCTTAAACATGCATGCCTGTTGTAGCCGCATTGTCCTGATGGAAGCTGCCCAGAATTACAACAGCGTGTTCTAGACGATCAGGGATGCCTTAGTTGAGAGAGAATCGACAAGCGCGATATGGGGGTTATCTGTGCTAATCCTGCATGTCGGCTTACCAAAGGCGAAATGAGATCCGATGGAGATTCCGCGCTGGTCTTTCATGGGTCACTACCTGACTGGGAGGTACAGGGTCATTTCTGTGTGCAGTGCCACCAGCAGATGGTAAGAGGTGGCACTAAAACATCCGGATTATGGTGCTCTCCAACCCACGTGGACCCTGCGAATCGAAATTCTCCGAGGAACAATCTCTGACAAGTACGGATGCGGTGGGCATATGTATGGATGTGAGCAGAGGCTTTCAAGCCTCTAACAACTCGCTTCTATGTCCATTCGATGTTATCTAGCAATATCTGGACGATCATCGGTCGAACACTGGTATGCAAATCATGTAGTAAAAAGATGGGAGAAACAGAGAGAGAGGATCTCCAGCCTACGATTGCTTTGGGGTCAACTATGGGGGATCTTTACAAGGAATACTGGGAACTAAGAGATCGTACCAGGATGAGTTTAAGTCAATTTCCGAGACACTGGATTTTTGAACGGTCAGCAAGAAAAGAAAATCCATTGAGGCTTTTCAAACCGTTTAGACGGAGTACAAAATTTAGTCTTGGAACGGTGTTTGGTATGTCGGTGAGTATATACAGACTATGGGTAACCAACAAGATACAAGACGGCATTGCCTCCCGGATTTCTACAACCTTAGAACAGGCTGCCATAGGCTTAATCAGCCATCACAGGGTTCCAATGTCGGAGAGGAAAAATGAGGACGACGATAGAACCACATGGATCGAAGGACCGGGGTCCTATAAGATAAATATTAGGACGTAGTTACGCGGCTTATACCGTAGGCGATTAGAGCGAAAGTCTACTCTACTAACCTATAAGACCCTCAGGCTGGACGCTGGACCATATTTGGGATGGATGTAGAATTGGGAAATAGAAACCAAAGGTATACTACAATAGGAAAGAGAACTAATAGCTGCTTCTCTAAGGAAGCAACCTACAAAGATAATATATATGGTTGTAGGTCACATAACACGTAGTAGGGTAGGTAATTACTATTGCCTATATTAGTCGTAAGGTAGCCCCTTCATATGGCCTACCTAATACCGAAATATTCAGAATGAGTTCCCTTTGAAATTATATGATTATATGACTGTGGTTTCGACAATGCCAATAGTTGAGAAGAAGGGGTCTAAAGTCATGTTGTAGAAACGTCGATAACCTTGCTTCCAAATAAGGGAGAGCCTTGAGACATCTATTGAGCCATATTTGTAGGTCATTTAGTTTCGGATATACCTGCAACTATAATATTACTATAATTTCAGAACACATTGTTGCGAGTGGCTAAGTAGTAGCTAGAAATGGCGCCTTGGACCAAAGGACGATATATCGAGGAACATATCAATCCCGCATCTCTATCTCAATCAGATCCATCAACTTTGATGAATCACCGGCCATGCACTGGCTCTAGCCTTGAACAAAAGATGCCAATCACCCGCAGCATCTTTCCCAGTGATTCTCACAATGTTACTAGTCGGGTATCCACGGCAATACTCAATGTCGTTGATGTACGACGGTCTACCGAGGGCATGGGGCCTTCCACTTAAGGGTACATGGGGAGTAATGACAGCCGCTGACCAATCCGTTTCGAAGTTCCCAGCCTTGTGCTGGTTAGTGGCGGCCATGAAGAGGAGCTTCGAATCTCCGACCACGGGTAAAATTTCCTCTCTGGATGGCAGTCATGGCCTCAACTTGCTGCTTGGTTCTGTGCTCCACGAGGGACTTGCGGTCGTGGAAGTCACATACTTCAAGTTGATATCTTGGAGAAGCTTGCTTGCAACAAGCAGCGTATAGGAATAGAAGAATGAATCGCCGATGAGGCCTGCGGCGCCATGGAGGAACCACTCAGGGAAAAGATTCCACATATTGAAGACGTTCATCACCATGATCGTCCGGTCCGGCGCAGGTTTCAACGCTTTGATCATTGTCCTTACCCACCAGGCAACGACAACATCACCCTCGCTCACAAACGGCTTTTTTGCTCCCCTCGGAGTAGTGGCATCTAGTTCCTGTAGTATAGTTTTCCTCATCCGATTCACGCACCGTCCCGCCAGGCGGATCGGGTGTTCTTCCGGTTTTGGGAACCACAGAATCTCGAACATGTACATGTAGCGAAGCCCAAAGATCACAAGGCTGAGCCCGCTCAATAGTCGCCCAAGATCGATATAGCTCTGCCTGGGGGCTACTTTGCCCAATGTATATAGAAAATCATGGTCATAAGGAACAAATGCTGGTACTTCTTCTTCTTGGCCACGAAGAACAGCTATCCAAGCGTCGAAGAAGTTCGTCCGTGAGATAGCATCAGAAAAGGTATGTAACTAGTTGATTGTGAGCAGGGTTGCATCCTGAAAGAGAGCAGCATGGATATGGAGCTGTGGACGGTCGGTGTAGATCCAATCGGCCAATTCTCGATGACTGTCTGGGTGGCAGACTATCGATGCAAAAAAGTCGGAAGAGGGTGACAAGAAAGACTGGTCTTGGCCTGCTTTATGCAGCTGTGAGCCCAACGTGTGATCATTTATGCTCATGCCATATGTCGTAGTCGTGAAAATGAATGACAGGCGCGTCTCGTCATAATGTGCTGGTAGATTAGCATGACATTCGAGAACGAAAATGGGGTACTCGTTGGGCTAAGCTGAAATTTGCCCAGACGTGGGTTGAATATCTTGCGTAGGAACAGGCTGCAAGAAGTGATCAAAGTAAATCTGGAAATCTCATTGTTCTCAATTTGATAACAACTGTAATGAAGAAGAGTGGATAACATCCTGGTAAACCGGTGAACTCAACCCTTCTATGACCAGGTCAGCCAGCCCCAAAGAAAGCCAATCATATCCACCTCAAAAACAAACCTTTTGATGAGGCTTCCTGACCTCAAAAAATACATTCTCATATTTCCTCATTTCGTATGGCGTCTTCCTTAGAAGCGCCTCCTTCCGTTTTCTAGTCCAGCCCTTGACACTCCTCAAGTGTTGTAAACCATGGACGCCAGCCATCGGATCTAAAAGTTGACTGACATCCCTATTTGCAGGACTGTAAAGAAGCGGGTCGTGAATGGTATCCCCTTCCAATTTGTATTCTTCCTCCAGCGCAAGGTGCTCCTTCTCGGGTGCTGTTTTGGACGGGTCGTATGGAGATTTGTGACGTCCGACTTCGTCGTCTGTGCCTGATTGGCAGGTTTCTGCTCGTTCGGGGTTGAGGATACACCTTTCGAGGGTGGGATCCTCTTTTTGGGGCCTTTTCTGTGCTTGGAGATAACAGGTGCTGCGAAGGGGATGTGAGTACACGTGGTAGGTGGTGGTGGCTGCTTGGACGGTCCAATTCAGGGGCTTGACGCTCTTCATGATTTTTGATTGTGGTTGATATCAACTCAATAGATCTGTCAATGTGAGGATTTGGAGTTCAGAGCGAAGAAGTTGGTGTTTGTGGACTTAAGTTTACCCCAGACTTATAGCTACGGCAGTTCGGAATGACGTCATCATTTTTGCGCAAATGAACCTTGGGAAGGCCTCGACTTACGGCAGCTCCTTCAGAACGGTACGTAGCCGAATGAGGCAATTGCAGTCATGTGCCCAGGTGCCCAGGTGTGGAAGGTGCAACGTCCCTGCGAGTATAAACCACCCTCCTCATCCCCCCTCCTCATATCTGCCCTCGACAAGTCTACTTAAGTGCCGTAGCTGTGTATGCGACGTCAATGATATGGACTTGGCAGGATCTGATATATTATTGAAAATTGTAAACATTGACCTGTGGTGGTTTGATAGCCAAAGACTTTGTATATTTCCCGCTGTATGCACATAAGATTCATTCACAAACAAGGAGAACGCTCAGCTTGAGTATTTAAATGCTGTACAAGAACCTGGGGTTTCGATCACCCATTTCCTGGATATCCTGCTCTGACAGCGATGATATTTTCTCATCCTCCAGACCCTGGGCTCTGCGTTTGTTGATAACCCGATAGGAAAACCACATGACACCATACACGACACCCGCAAATGCCACCATACCCAGAGTGACAGCGTTACCACGGACGAAGCGCGGGCCTTCGGAATTAGGATACAAGAACGGAGACATGACTCCACTGATGTTTCCAAAGGTAAGCTGCAAGCCGGTTGCGTAGGTGCGTTTTGCGTATCGAGGCAGGTTCGTAGGCAGCCAGGCGAGAGGTAAACCAACAGCAACGTAAAGCCCCAGGGCAACCATCAAGGCACCGAAGTAATGGACACCCGAGGACGAGTCCGAAATCAAGATGCCATAGCCAACGACTGAGATAGCGCAGAAAAGACATATGAAAGATGCCCGGTGTTGGGTGCGATCGCTCAACCAGGCAACGCACAGATATGCAATAGCACCCAGTCCATAGCAAGGGATTGTCAATGCCTGGACCTCGGCGGTGGTCCAGTTTCCCATGCCTTTGATAATAGTAGGAAGGAAGGTACTATATCCATAAAGCATGGTATCGATACCAAACTGGCCAATGGAGAACGCCCAGATCTTCCAGTCTAGGACACCCTCTTTCACATCCGCCCAGTGGAACTTCTGCGCAGACTCAGTCTGGCCGATATAACGACTCCGGCGGAGTGCAACGAGTGCCCGCTCCTCTTTGTTGAGATAGTAAGCTGTGTCCGGATCATCCGCCAAGGCGAACCAAGTTACTACGCCAAGTAGAACTGTCGGAATCCCCTCGATGATCATGATCCAGCGCCAGCCTCGAAGTCCACCGATGCCGTCCATAAACCCAATACCATAAGCCAGTAACCCGCCAAAAGCTCCTGCAATAGCTGCACTGCTAAACAGGTAGCTTGTTCGCAAGGCAATCTCGCGTTTGCTATAGAAGAGAGTGAGGTAGGTTATAAAGCCCGGAAAAAGACCTGCTTCTACGACTCCAAGTAGGATTCGGCAGGCAACCAAGCCACCATAATTCTGAGTGATCCCTGTGAGGGTTGCAATGATACCCCACATCACTGAGATCGTGGCAATATACCGAGACGGCCTTAGTTTCTTGAGTACAAGGTTTGAAGGGACCTCGAAGAACTGCACGTTAGGGTTAGCGTCCGTGCGGTGACTGAATTGCGTGATATGCATACACAGTAGGTTACAAAAAGGATGGACACGGAGACTTGGTACTGGTTGCCAACAAGTCCCAAGTCCTCTTCCAGGCCGTACAATCGTGCATTTCCAATGTTGACTGCATATTCAAGTCAGCCAATGTTTTTGATTCCGAGTTGGCACAGGCCAGTTGCAATCGCAAAGGGATGAGTCAGACACCCCACCCCCACGTACCTCGATCTAGGAAACTGAAGAGATACAACAACACCACGATAGGAAGGATATGCAGGTCAATCTTCCGGATCAGAGTCTTCTCAATCTGTTCCTCGTCTAGAGTTGGCCCTAAGCTGATTTCATAGGGCACATCTTGGTTAGGTGAACCGGTGTCAGGCTCAGCATGGCCCATGGTGAGAGGCCAAAGACCAGACAGAAAGAATGATAGAGGAATAGACTCGGCCCCGGGGCCTAGGTGTTTCCCGAGGTCACTTCAATTATGTTCCAAGGTTAAGGGAAAAATCTTAGGCAAAAAGCCGAAAAGGAAGAATTAAAGTTGCCAAGCGCCAAGAAGTTGGATAAGGACCCTTGCAGCCGATTGATAAGAGAAGTACTGGTGGGATGGACCTACGGAATAGGTAACTATGTTTTGTTTCTTCCATTTCTTGTGGTTTTATTTTAAGGATTGCATCATAGTTGTAAAATAGAGATATTAAACCAATTAGCAAATGTACCTGGGTAGTCCTGGGAAAGTAGTCCTGAGTACTATATGTATGGTAGTGAGCTGACTTCGGAATTCGCATATGATGACATAAGAAGTAGGCGCCTGAGGCCAACTTGCATACATGTAGTCTGCCAATACCAAGTCAAGTCCGATATAGCAAGCCCCTAGTAGGTTTAGAGACACATGTAGAACATAATCTAGCTACAGCAAGCCTCTTTTTCGAGGTATAAAAGTCTACATTTTACAAGAGCAAAATATGAAGGTCAGCAGATCAGGATAGACCGGCCTAGCCAGCTTACCTAATAGCAAAACCCGCTGTCATTTTTGCCTATTTGTGCCTATTATTTGCTGCAGACAGAGGAACTATCACTTTCTGATTCCTTCTGCACCATATTCAATTAGGATTGATATCTGATATGAATGGGACTTTTTTCCCCCTGCAATTCCGTTCACCCCGCAATGCACTGCTGACGGACACACATCTCTCATGACTTCACTTCTCACTATGAGAAATCCTTCACGTCCACGCGTTTGACAGAGCTTTGCAAATCACTCCTGAATTTGCTATTTGAAAGTTTGCTTTCCTTTCTCCGCCATAGGGGAATCTGGGACAACGGCGTCCTCTCTTTCTGGTCTCTTGGGTCTCGCACAACCAAAATCCATCAAAATCAAAAAGTACCGCTTCAACCAATGGCGGACCTAGTAACTCCTTCCTTTGGGAAGCTAGTCGCATCTAAAACTCTTGATGGCCATACTGGCTTCATTTGGGATGTGGCCCTTTCCCGCAATGGTCAAATCCTCGCCTCAGTCTCCAATGACATGATGATCCGGCTATGGAACGCCAACACCGGTCTCCAGCGCAGCGCCGCAAGAGACAACGGCCATTCCAGCTGGGTGCGCTCTGTGAAATTCTCCCCCACAGGCCGATTCTTGGCCACTGCTTCCGATGATATGACCATTCGTATCAGCGACGTGAACACCGGGTTCACCTACCGCATGCTGCAGGGCCACACTGGCAAAGTTCGAGCAGTGGAATTTTCTCCCGATGGGAGAACCCTCGCTTCAGCCTCAGATGATTTCACTGTACGACTGTGGAATGCGAGCTCAGGGTCGCTGCTCAAAACCCTCAATGGGCACTCGGGATGGGTGCGCGCTGTGGCCTTTTCGCCCGATGGAAAAACTGTTGCTTCAACCTCGGACGATAATACAATTCGCCTCTGGGACACAACCACCGGCAATGAAATCCATCAACTAAATGGCCATGAATCCTCAATCAGGGCTGTCTGCTTCTCTCCTAATGGGAAGCTGCTAGCGTCGGGATCGCAGGACAAGGACCTGCGCATCTGGGATACGACTTCTGGCACCATGCTCAACGTCCTCCGGGGGCACTCTGGACCTCTGCGCGTGATCGCATTTTGTACTGATGGGAACCTGGTGGCATCAGCGGCAGATGACCTGACGATCCGCCTATGGGCTGTGCCCTTAGGGTTTGCCTGCGTCCGAGTCTTAACGGGCTATTCCGGGTGGGTTCGGGCCATTACTTTGTCGCACGATGAAAATATGGTAGTTTACACCTCTGATGACATGACTATCAAGATCTGGAACTCGGCGTGATTCTCTCTCGTGGAGGGGAGATCCTTCTCGTTAACGCACGCGTTTGTTTGTTTTGTTTTTGTTTGAGATACCCACCAATGTTCTTGATTCTTCAGCTCGCATGGAATTCCTTGCGATTAGCAATCAACTTATTTTAATTGATCAAAAGCCGGAACCAAAACTTCTCTCCTTTACCTGGTTTGAACAGTTGGGTCGAAGTCGGAGCCGACCAAGATCGTCCACTCTGCTCAAGAACACTACATGAGGTTTTCAAGTCCACAAGCCTACTCATACAAAAAATGGTCAGACACGGAAAGATGCTGGATGTGCTGCAGATCCCTACCTATTCCCAATGTTTGCATTGATATGACTCACTCGGAATCTTTTCCAGGGCTACCTAGTCTATCAGCCAATGGGACAGCATGTGTTGTTACAACCCCAGGCGCGAACGCTTAATCGGTCTAGTATCAAAATACTGGCTTTCATTGAGCTCTCCGACCCAATTTGATGGGATGTGCCCTTCAACATTTTTATCTTGCCAGTGCATATCTTTACTTGGACTGAGACCATGAGCCAGCCAATTTCAAATGAAAATCCTCACCAAGTCTATGATGAAATCAACAACAAACCCACAATCACGGACAATGCCCTCCAAGAAAAGGCCGAGATACAAGAAACCCACCAGTCCTTGACCATTATTAACTTTGAAGAAAACGACCCTGGAAACCCACTGAACTGGCCCAGATCAAAGAAATGGACCGTAACAATTGTTGTCTCTCTTTCGGTGTTTTTAATGCCATTGTCTTCGTCAATTGTCGCACCCGAGTTGAGCACCATCAAAGACGAACTGCACATGGGAAGCTCACTAGAAGCAGTCCTCGTCCTCTCAACCTTCGTCCTGACTTACTGTCTCGGCCCTCTGATACTAGGCCCATCGAGCGAGATATTTGGAAGAGCCGCAGTCTTGCACTCGGGGAATTCATTCTACCTGATCTTCAACCTGGTGTGTGGGTTCGCTCGAAACAAAGGCGAATTACTCGCTTCCCGTCTACTCAGTGGCATTGGAGGCGCGGGTGGACTTGTTGTGAGTACGCCCCTTCTTCTGCGGCTAGATCTTGCTCTAATGTGCCAGGCATAGGTGGGTGCGGGTATTATTAGTGACTGCTTTCCCAAAGAAGAACGCGGCTGGGTCATTGCCATCTACAATCTTGGGCCTGTCTTTGGACCTTCTCTAGGGGCTGTCGTTGGTGGGTTTATCACTCAGTACACGACATGGCGCTGGGCATTCTGGGCAACGTCTATCTTTGACGGGACCTTGATCGTTTTTGGCTTGCTTGTTATGGAGGAGACATATCCACCCGTCATCCTCGCGAGGAGAAAGGCCAAGATGCTGAAACCGGCTGCGACAAACACAGCTCTATTGAAGACACCTTACGAAAAACCAGACGAAACTCTCAGCCAATTATACCACAACTCTCTTCTCCGACCCCTGCAGCTCTTAAGAGTCCAGCCCATCGTCCAGGTTCTAGCAATCTTCTATGCCTATCTATACGGGCTAATGTACCTAGTACTCTCGACCTTCACAACTCTCTGGGAAGAGAGATACCACCAGCCCGTGGGCCCGGCTAGTCTAAACTACCTCGCACTGGGGATCGGATACTTCCTTGGTTCACAGGTATGCGCGTTTCTCGCGGACCCAATCTACAGAGCGCTGAAGAAGAAGCATGGCGGAAATGGCAAACCAGAATTCAGAGTAGTTCTCATGTTCCCCGCCTCGATCCTCGCCCCGGTCGGTCTGCTGTGGTACGGATGGGGAGCACAGGCTGTCACGCATTGGATTGTGCCTGATCTTGGCATAGCGCTGTTTGCCTGCGCTGCTATGATTCTGTTTCAGTGTACCAGTGCATATCTGTATGAGGCTTTTACTTTGTATGCGGCTAGTGCGACGGGTGCTGTTTACATTCTTCGTGGATTGACGGGTTTCGGATTTCCTCTTTTCGGTCCGAATATGTATCAATCGTTGGGTTATGGATGGGGGACTACTATCCTTGCTCTCGTTGCTATTGTTATGGGCTGTCCGGTGCCTGTTGTTCTTTGGAGGTATGGTGAGCGACTTAGAGCTCGGAGTAATTATGCTACCGGGTAAAGTATGGATGACTTAAATCTATAATTCACTTGACTTTCTACGTGTTATGGAAGGACACATGGCAATGACTTCATAAAACAGGATATTTGCGTAATACGTTAATGCATGAAGCTAGCATGAAGCTATGTAACCTCGGTTCAATTCATCTCCGCATAACCGGGGGCATAGCGGTACCCCCAGCTTTGGGACTTGGCTTCTCTAACTTTCCAACTATCAACGATTCACAACGATTTACAATGTCTGATAACTACGGTAGCTACCAAACAGAGATCTACGGCAAGGGTGCCTTAATGGGCATCCTGCCTGGCGTAACCACCGACCCCCGCAAACTAGAGGAGCAAGCTCGAGAGTCTCTGGGCGTTCGTGCATTCAATTATGTCGCCGGTGGAGCAGGCGAGAAAGCGACAATGGATAGCAACCGGCTGGCATTCCGGCAGTGGAAGCTGTAGGTTTCTAGATATTTACTACGATAGTCGGAAACTAACGGACGAGGCCGATAGAATCCCACGGATGATGCGAAATGTGAGTTAAGGCAATATACAATGAACTACGACTACCTAGGTATGTTCTCGCTGACCGATGACATACCCAGACACCCGAGCAAGACGTTTCGGTCGAGCTCTTCGGTCAGAAATACGATAATCCCCTTATCATGGCGCCGGTCGGCGTACAGGGTATCTTCCACGAAGACAAGGAGACAGGCCTTGCAGAAGTATGCGAGGAAGTCGGGGTTCCGTATACTATGAGTACGGCGAGCACGAGCTCGATTGAAGATGTTGCGACCGCCAACAAGGACGGTAAGCGATGGTATCAGCTGTACTGGCCCAGGGACAACGACGTTACTCTGTCGCTGCTAAAGCGGGCAAAAGAGAACGGGTTCTCGGTTCTGGTTGTTACCTTGGATACATGGTCGCTGGCGTGGCGACCGGCGGATTTGGATAACGCCTATGTACCCTTTATCAAGGGGGTGGGGAACCAGGTCGGGTTTAGCGATCCTGTTTTCCGCGCGAAGTTCGAGAAGGAAACTGGATCGAAGGTTGAGGAGGATATTATTGGTGCTTCGCGCGCGTGGATCGGAGACATTTTCGCTGGGAGTCCGCATTCATGGGAGGATTTGGCTTTCTTGCGGAAGAATTGGGATGGGCCGATTGTGTTGAAGGGAATTCAGCACGTGGAGGATGCGAGGCTAGCGCTGAAATATGGGTGTGATGGGATTGTGGTATCGAATCATGGTGGTAAGTAGTTCTGACCAGCTTTTTTTTTCATGCCCTTTCTCTAATTTTGTCCAGGCCGTCAAGTGGATGGTGCTATCGGGTCTTTGGACGTTCTTCCGGAGATAGTCGATGCAGTTGGGGACAAGATAACGGTACTTTTCGACTCGGGGATTCGGACAGGTTCGGATGTGATCAAGGCACTGTGCTTAGGAGCCAAAGCAGTTCTTGTTGGTCGACCGGTGATTTACGGACTGAGCATTCAGGGCCGAGACGGGGCCAGACAGGTCCTCAAGGGGCTTCTAGCCGATTTGTGGCAGAACATGGGCCTATCGGGGATTCGGAGGGTGAAAGATTGCGACCGGAGTCAGATTCGCAAGGTGCAATACGGAGGTGACGTGAAAGCGATGATGTAGAGTTAATCGGACCTGGAACATAGTGCCAAGTACTCCGTACGTGTATAGAAATCTTGGAAGTCGATCACATGTGAAAGGCCGATCTTCAATGGTTGGGGTACCAACTGGCTTACACCTACACGGAGGGACAACTTTGGAAGGCTGTAAATGTAAAACAATCTTCATGGCTTGAAATATTCTCACTCTTGATATGTTTACAAAATCCAATGACCGGGAAAAACCTGATGATGTCAATATGAACCTCGACTATGCGCACGCTCACGTTCCAGCCTCAGGATCGACTCTGCTCCCGCGACCAGTCGCGTCGTTGATATCTTTGATTACCCAGTCAACCTCGCTATCGTTGCGACTAGGCACATTCTTTGGCGGGGCGGCCCTGGATGGCGCGCGAGCCACGACTCTGACCAGCTTGGAACTAAGCCGGGCTTTGGTCGAGGGAATCTTGACGAGGGCAGGACGAGATGTCGCTATTCGTAGTGGCGATGAACATGGTAGGACAGAAGCTGAGTCTCTTCTCGAGCGAAGTGTATGTTCCTAAACCCTTCAGGGCTATCAACTTAGTCTTGACTAACACCCCTAGTTGGCGACGCTCCACACGACGGTGACCTCGGCATCTTTTTTCGCCGCAGCGACATTTCATTTCTCGTCGACCACTTTATCTTCGGTTGCAAATCTCTCGCAGGCACTTCTGTCTACTTTGGATGCCATTCTTGGATCCACCGAGTCTTCAAGGGCCATCGCGGCTATCATCACGCTGATTCGACGTGAGTTTAGATCTGTTGACCCCGGCGCAAGTACCGAGAATATCGGTGTCGGAGACCTCCTCATTGGCTCTCTAGGCTTCGCACTATTGCAGCGTTGGGGTAAGAAGAATACCGAAAGACATCTGCGCCAAAATGGCGGAGATGAGATTGTTTGGGATGTTGTCATTCTGGACAACGGCGCAAGAGCAGACGTGATCGGATCCCATCAACTGCAATTCCCCGAGCGCAATGATGAAGAGTTGGTAGAGCCTGGCAGTTCTTCATTCGTGATGCCTGGAAATGGCGAGGAAGCCTTTGATGCAGTTCGACGGTCGAGCGTGTCTGATTCATTTGGGCATCGTCTCTCTAGTCCGTTGGATGGTCAGCAGCAAGTATCCGATGAGGATATCCGCGCTTATATTATGAGTCAACTTCCTCAGGGTTGTCACGCATCTATCAAATCGGAAGCCCTGACGGCGCGAACGATCACAGTCGATATCTACGATGATGATATAGCAGAGATCGCCGCCCCTCCAGGAACGAAACTGATAGAAGAGAGATTCCACCATGATCATAATTACGAGGATAGCAATATGGCTGATGGCCAGCGACGGTGTCCAAGGCATACAGTGGTGTTTAGGACAGCCTTCAATAAATCCCAGAGCACTCAGCTGCGACCCTATGACGGCTCTGGAAATTTCGCCCTACCTGAGCCTGGTCATCATAAACGAGCATTGCCGGGTAATACATTGTCCAATAGTCCGGTGAAGTCTCATCATGATCAGTCGCGTTCACATCTCGATGCCACACAGGGCACTGCTCCCAAACACCGTGGAACAACTCCCAACTCGCCGAATGAACCTCCCAAGTCTGCACTTAGCAAAGGCTCATTCACGAAATTTGCACAAAAGGTTAAGCCATCTGTTCTAGAAAGAAGTGAGGCCAAGCGCCCGCCGGGAAAGAAGCCATCTATAGACTCATCCGGGCCCTCGGGGATCTCAAGTCCTCGTCTTCCTCCCAGGCCTACAAAAGGAACAGCGTCTGTAAAGGAAGCGACTGCGCGAGAGGTCTCCAGCAGACCCGCTCCCACAAAGAGACAAACCGAACCTCCGAACTATCGACCGACAACCCCTGTCCCGAATCGGGGCTTACGAAGGTCGCCCTTCCCAAACTCCCCCCAAAAACAGTCGCCACAGTCGCAGACGAAACACGCCCCATCTCACGAAATGCATGCTTCTAGGGGCCCAAGAGGGGGCCATTTCGCGGTGCGAGAGAAGAGCCAAGAGTCACTCCTCACTCAAACTGACACATTCTTTTCACGCCGTGGTGCTGGTATGCGTTCTGGATCGCCTGTCCAGACTCACGTTCGCAGCAGCAGCTCCATGTCTGTGACAAGATCGGAAGCAGACGGGACTTTGTCTGCCAATGATAACCGCCCCAGCTCGTCAGCTATGCATCGCAGATCCCAATCATTCACCCCCAGCCTGTATTCCCTAGCGACTGCAGGGTCTGAGACGTCCCTGCTGCTCGCGCACCGGCCTCGCAAAAGTGCATATGAAGATATGGAAACCATTCAGGCACTCAATCGCGATGGCTCTGTTCCAGGGATCTTTCCAGAGAGACACTTCGTGCAAAACATTCGCCGGTTCTCCCGGTTCTCCTCTGCCTCATATGGGTCGAATGCGCTCACCGTCATGGGTGTTCCTAGTGGCTCGAAGAATCTACCTAATACCAAGTCGGACGGCCACGAGCACAGTGCGTTCTCGGAGAATGCGGGCCTTCCACCCTCTACGATCCTCCTATCGTCGTTCGTCGATCCAGCCGGTGGCTCGAACGCAGCTGGTGAGACAGAGACAGGCTTCCCATTGGTCCACTATCTTTCTATCGACCATGACTCCAAAGCCGTGGTTCTGACTCTACGAGGAACATGGGGCTTCGAGGACATCCTCACAGACATGACCTGCGACTACGACGACCTCGAATGGCAAGGCAAAAGCTGGAAGGTGCACAAAGGCATGCACGCCTCAGCCAAGCGGCTCCTAGAGGGCGGCGGCGGCCGAGTCATGATCACCCTACGTGCGGCACTAGAAGAATTCCAAGACTACGGCATAGTCCTATGCGGGCACTCGCTCGGCGGAGGCGTCGCAGCCCTTCTCGCAACGATGATTTCAGAACCCAACCCATCCACAACAGGCACATCCTTCGTAACAGCCTCATATCAACCTGCCACCCGTCCCCGCCTCTTGACCGCAGATATCAACCCCAACCCCAGCATCCCAGACCCCAGCCCACCAACCTACACCCTTCCAGCGAACCGGCCAATCCATGTCTACGCCTACGGCCCCCCAGCCGTGATGTCCCCTTTCCTCCGCCTCGCCACGCGAGGCCTAATAACAACAATCGTCAATGGCTCGGACATAGTCCCCAGTCTGTCGCTAGGCATCCTACACGACATGCACACAGCGTCATTATCCTTCAAGGACGATGCCACGGGTGCCAAAGCGCACATCCGCCAGCGGGTGAGCCATTCCCTCCGCCAAAGCATTATTCACAAATTCTATGTCAACCAGCCCCCGCTAGTCGTGAACGCGGGCGATGGCGTCGGTGAAGACGCCTGGGCCTGGAAGACGCTAAAACTGCTACGGGATGAGATGCGTGCGCCGAAACTCATGCCTCCCGGTGAGGTTTTTGTCGTTGAGACGATGCGGGTTCTGCAGCGGGATGCGTTTACGGCGCCGGAGCTTGGGGTCGACGGTTATCCGCGTCTTGGGAGGCCTGCGACTCGCGTGCAGATTCGGTTCATTCGGGACGTTGATGCTTGGTTTGGCGAGTTGCGCTTTGCTGGTGGCATGTTGAGTGATCATAATCCTGCGCGGTATGAGACTAGTCTTGCTGCGTTGGCGAGGGGGGTTTTTGGATGAGTAGATCTCGGAGGGTTTGGGTATTTATGTGTCTATGTGTCTATGTGTTTATGTTTTGGTTTTCGTTTGGGTTGGTGTTTACTTGCGAGTTGATGTTGGGCAGATACATGTTCTCCTCCTTGGTTATTTGGGATTGCTTCGAAGGTTATATTGGTAATGATTTGATGATACATTTAGGGCACAGATAGACAAGAATGACTGTTTACAAGTTAACGGACCCGTTGGAATTGAGCGGCTCAGTCAGTGAATTCTTCATGGTATGAGTAGTCTAAACGAGAAGTAGTTGATGTCTCGGCGGGGACCATCGATTTGTGGTTAATAAAGAACAGATAGAACTATGAGCACTACGAAGACGAGTACAGGATAACAAAACAGAGAGAAGCAGTTTTCATCATAGAATTGTACATTGAGAATCGTAATTTTATATAGTGTATAGAACCGACCCATCTAAACCAAATGGGAATCCGATGAAAAGAATCAAAACCAAGATCCAGGGTATCACGGCATCACACACAACGCCAAACAAAAGAAATCCCCACCTGACAAAAGAAAAAGCACCCTTTAAGAAAAACAACGTGACAAGAATCAGAAGAGTACCGAGACAAGGAATCCACATCCGCCTATACAACAATGGCAGTTGCAGCAGGAGCAGGACCCGGGCGACCAGAGTGGCAGCCACGCTCATGGCGCTTCATATTGCTACGCACAGAGAAAGCCTTACCGCAGCCGGCATGTGTGCAGCGGAAGGGCTTCTCGCCAGTGTGCGAGTGGGAGTGGATGCGCAGGGAAGAAGGACGCGAGAAAGCCTTGTGGCAGGTACGGCAGATATAGCGGTCGTGGTTCTGCTGGTACGGGGCTGAGGTGGAGGGCGGGAAGTAGTGGTGGTGTTGCCAGGCCGGGGTGACAGGGGAGATGAGAGCCGAAGACGAGTGCGAGTGCGAGTGCGGCTGCTGCGCCTGGACCTGGACAGTGGGCATCTGGGGGGCTGATGCTGGGGTCGAGGGTTGGAATGAGGATGTGGTTGGTGGGCGAGGGTAGTACATTTGCTGTTGGGGAGCGTCGATTGGAGATGTGTAAGATGAGACGCTTGGTGCAGGCGAGGCGTAGGGTGCTGTGTTGCGGGGGATGTGGATAGAGCTGTTGCTGGAGATGGAGGAACGGTGCAGGTGGTGGCGGTGCGCTTCCTTGTGAGAGAGCGACTCCACGGGAGATGCGCGGCGGTGGGCGTGGCCAGAGCCGGGGCGCAGAGGTGGTGTTGGGGGCAGCTCGTAGGACCCGACCCGGACGTGGCGCTCACCGAGAGATGGCGAGAGACGTTGGCGCTCTGGAAGGTATAGGATTAGCGAGGATGTTTTTGGTTTGTAGTATGGTTGGAAGTACTCACTAGCTGCGTGCTGAGCACCATCGGCACCTTCAAAGAGAGATGAGATTGAAGGCAATGAGACTTTAGGCTCTTCGGCTGGCGGCGATAGAGGCGGCGAGCGCTTATAGTAGCTGGACTCGAGAGGAGTATAGATCGGCTTGACAGCCGTGCTGTGAGAGAGGAGGTTGGCGAGATCCATGATGAAGAAGATGTGTTGGAGAGGACTGATCCAGGTGCGTTTCAAGTTCGGGTTTGTTCAGTGAGTGGGGGATGCCACGAGGTTTATACCTAGAGAGCAGGCGGGCGGCTTTAGATGATCGCCAGCGGACGATGCCGACTCAGGCAAAATTACGATTTACGTTACGGCATTTTCTAATTATTTTTATTTTTATTTTTATTTTTTCAATTGTATTTCCCTTTTTTAATTATTTTTAATGAGACGCAGCTTGCTCCAAAGCTTAATTTAATTGATTTTTCTTCTTTAGGTTTAATGAATTCAATTTAAAATTAATTTAAGCGAGATAAGTAATAAATAACCATGGAATAATTATTTTCGGAGATTAACGTGGGGGGAATGACGATTCACCCACGCGAAGGCAGAAAGCCCTAACCTTCCAGCCTTGTGGGATGTGCAGCGCCCTAAACCCAAATTGGGAGGCCGTAAAGACCCCGTTGGACGATTGCACCTCGGCTACGGTTAGTGCAGATCCTGCTGGACCTGTCACATATCCCATGCCACTCCATAAACGGCTGATCGATCAGGGATCTGTTGATCTGCGAGGGCGATGAACAGTTGTATACGGAGTAGATATTGATATAATCATTCTCGTTGTCTCTCCCTTTGAACTGTAATAATAATATAATAATATAAGTGCAAAACCCGGGGATGACACCATGGATGGTTCAGGAGATCATTTTGTCGCGTGGCTATGGAGAAAAAACGGGCGCGAGCGAAAAGGGAAGGTCACAAAGGGATAGCACTAGTCCATTTTGGGCCACACCTCCGGAACCTTGGAACCATATTTACGTCTGCGCTTCTTATACGCTGGTCAGGCTACTCCATACATATTATCCATGGGTTTATTATGTGCTGTGAATTTAATCTAATACTCCGTACTCCGTACTCCGTATTAATTACCATGGTACCTACAATTGATCCCGGATTGTCATCACCAAGGGCGGTTCTAAGCGCTGGGGGCGAGACCAAAGGAATGCCTGAAACAGTTATTCATCCATGGCCCTGGGCTCGCTTACACGAACCTTACAAGCACAGTGGGCGGAGTACATACATCAATGTATGTACATCATACATGGGGGAAAACTTGTTTCCCTCCCACTCTAGTGCATGATACGTATACAATATCCTGTTAATCTACGATGCACTCTCTAGTCTCAGTCCAATCGTGGATCTAGTTTGAGAATGGAGAAAAGGAAAGATCGCATCGGCAATTGAAGAACCCATCCTAATACTAAGTTAAGAAGGTGACAAGGCCTAGAGTCGATCGAAAACCATGCTCCTGAAGATCATTCCTCAAAGCCGTGGAACTGGACTATGGCTACCAGCGAAAACGAGTTACTGACACGATCGGCGTTCTGGAACATTACTCCTATTACCATGTTACCTGTGACAAATTCCGGCCGTGCACGGTTTCTGCACAGGCGCGATTGGGGATTGGCCGTTGGCGGTGGATTCGTCCCGACCTCGTGGAAGCGAGCTCCACTATTTAGCCCTTTACGAGAGATCGCCGGTGACGGAGGTAATGAATATCCATTATAGAATGGACTGTACAAAATAAAGTAGACGGCAATAGGATATAGATCCGTATGTTCATTTTAATCCGTCCTTACTTCTTCGCTCATTATCTCGCCCGACAACCCCCCTATACAGCAACGTACCTAATCGATTTATTGATTACTATTCAAAAATGGCTCGAGCGTCAGGATCGTCCCGGGTCTACGGATGATCAACCCCCTTGTCGGCACTTGATACGGAGTACGGATCGCCTATTCTCAACTGAGACTGGTGCCGGTCTTTGTATTCCGCGGGCATTGATTGGGCCTTCCTTGGTTCGGCTCAGGTAAATGGATATTTGACCTTTCATATTCACCTCATCACAAAGTCATGTAAGTCATACTTGTGAGCAGTGCCATATTTCGTATAGGAAATACACTTTTAGAGATCTTCATTCTGAGAAGCTTCACGCTTGGAAGCCTATTTTTGCTTTTTGCTTTTTCGTTATGAAACCGGGAAAAAGTGTGATCCGCTCAAGTCCCATGGGAGCGATTTTACGGTTTGCGTTTACGTTTAGTTTTTTTAATTCGAATGCTAAACCAAGGGTTATTTTTTTCCAATACATTCCACTCTACGGAGTACTATATTCTACTATATTAATCCCTAGGCCACGTAGACATTCTATTTTGCCAGTTAACAATCAATAGTCTGGTCAATCTGACCGAGGAACATTATCTTGAGGGTGATTGAGCTATCCTCTTTAGGTCATAGACCCGGGTAGGTAGCGGATTCAGCCGTGATCGCTGATCGTTTCTTGATCCCGGGGCACTGGGCCCATGCCACGCGACTGTCTCACCCCTTTCTTCCCGGACACACAGGCTTGTCCTGGTCGAGTCAATGGTCGCAAATCAGTGGGGCTGAACATGTCCAGCCACGCGAGAAACCTGGATCTTCGCAGATATAACATATTCTATACAATATACCCTCTACAATATATACTTTCAATACGATGCACATTACGGAGTACTGGTTGCCTTGCAAAAAGATTGACACATGGCACTTGCATATCCATGCGCATTGTGTCTGCTGTATCACATATCACATCGTGTTGTGTTTCATGAAGGGAAATCACAAACTATAATTAAAATTAAATCGCCCAAGCGTCAACCTTGACAGAGTTCCAAAAGTTAAAGTGATTTCAATGTTTTTTCCAACCTTGGAAGGTTCGCGCGCCATATATTCCAAATTTGTAATCCGTAAATTACCCGAATCCCCGTGTATGCCGGAACCACTGCAAATCTCTAACCCGCCAAGATTGTTTGCTTGTTACACGCCGATCGGGGATTGGTAGATCCGATCTTACGCTTGTACTACTTGGGAAGGTGCTTCTATTGGACGCCGGACGCGCCTGGCAATGCAAGTGCCACGCATACTTTATGCACCTTTTTCTTTTTTTTTCTCCTTTTCACGTGGCAACAAGCCCTAATCTGGCATTCCATCCGATGCACCTGTCTGCGTCCGATCACTAGGATATCCGCATGGGATCTTCCCGCGACGAAGACTGCAGTAGTGTACATATTACATTCTATTTATGCAGGTATTTGATTATTGAATATTGAATTTCGAGTAATACGAACGTGTCGAATGACGCTTTTCACTTCCATACTCATTCCCAGGTAGACAATTTACAGATTCATCTGCAATAATTGGATATATATAAATCTACTCCATACTGAATACTCCGTACGATATCTACAATCCTACCAACTACATAACCTCCTTCCTATTTGGAAATGATCGGTGGATCAACGAAGATCCAACTTCAGGGGGAGACATAACCGATGGCCATAGCTCCAGCTGACTCACCCCATGATCGCCCGCCATCGCTAAGCGACGACCGTTTAGGGAGTGTCTCCGATGCAGTCCTCCACGTAATGTCGATATTGTTATGCATTGACTCGTATTTGGCCCCTGGTTCTTATACAACGTACGGAGTGCTACGTACCATGTTATCGGAATATTGGTTGGGATCTAGATTTAGATTAGATACCTGATCTGATGATGTCTTGATCAATTCGCCATGAACTTGATTGTTTGGTCCCTTTGCTTTCCACACTACGGAGTAATATTGCTGCTGTGGGATGTATTTGATTAGACGAAGTATGGATTATTCCTTCAGGATCCGATATCGTAACAATATTTGATCCTTTTCCAGCCCCCAAAAAAGGGAGAAGGCATTCATTTCTACACCGTATGTTGTAGATTGTCATAAGCGTATCTGCCGTATAGCACCTGACCCAACACTGAAAATCAGGGGGGAAAAAGTAATAATAGAATGTCAATGCTAAAAAGCAAAAACAAAGACCCTTAATTACCTGCTTTGTATAACGGAACGCCAAACGAGGGATGATCGACAGCGATCACCTACAATATACGGAGTACATGTTTGACCGTCTCAAAAGAGACAGATCTAGCAAAAGGGGGCTGTCCCTTCCACGGAGTCGGGCCCGGGAGAAACACTTAATAAGAAATCAGGGCTACGGTACAATCCTACCGAGGCATACTAGTCCCAGCTAGGTGTACGTTGTACGGAGTATGGCCAGAAAGGGTGTTAGGCGAGAGAGACGGTTGGAACCTGGGATGTCTTAACTGTGTGAAACAACGACCTGTTCGTCCACGGGCGATCACAAAATTAGAGAGCTTACCGGCATCTTACCGGGGGTACGATTTCCCGCCTCGGTATAACCCCCGTGTAAGATCGGCCGTGGGGCCCCTAGCATCGAGTTACATACACTTCTCTGTTTTATTCCAGTTCCAGACCTGCGAACTGACCATGTCGTTGGCTCCATAATTTTGCTTCGGAAAAAAAAAAAAAACCGGAGAACATGGAGCAATGGAGCTGTTCCCATGCGCTTGATGGCTATTTTAGGGAGGTGATATGGGACCTAGCGTCATCATCGTAGATCCTGTTTATGCCCCCTTTCACACCCGTTCTCAGCGCATTGGTAGATCTGGACCACTTTGACCCCCCGATGAGTCTGCTACGGTCGTATGTATGTTGTATCTGGATATCTGCGATCTGCACTCCGTTCGTTCCACTGGAGCTATGAAACACCCGAGAAACCTCCCTGCGCTAAACTCATCAGCCATATCCGAATGAAGCCATACACCCGCGCATAGTCTACGGAATGGTCTGATAGTCCTTGATAGTCGGTTTCATTAACTTGAAGACATTGACTGTTGCCTCGGTACTCACCAATATTGAATAACATACTCCGCACATAGATTGACGGAGTACATACTCCATAGGCATGCTCCGTCGACTCTGAAGCAAAAAGAATAAAGTTTAGTTTTTGATTACTTTGATTAAGTTCCTGCCTATTCGGGCATCATACGTCCACCTCTTCCTTTCATTTAGCTTTCTATTTTCCGCTCTGATCCTTCGGGTTTGGTTTCGGGTCTTTGTTCGGAAGGATTCATTGTCGCAACCGTTGAGACATCATTCCAACCCGATGATTCAGGATTATCTGATTACTCGGAATCCACTCACCGATTGCCTACACATTACCAACCACACATTGAACACACTACGTATGCAAGTATGCAAGCAACTACTTCGGACATATTCCGCACTTCATACACACCGGGGGAGCGGGGAGGGTGGGCAAGGGTCTGATCATACCCAGCCTCCCACATCCCAGGCACATGCTGATAGTGACAGGTACATACGAAATCAATGCCCATCGCATTGATCGCTTACTGGGATGCAATCCCACTGCAATGTCATTGCCAATAGGAAGTTCAGCGCTCAGTCCTGTCCTTGATTGTCTACATTTACATTTGCAGTGTACATATATATAAAGTTTCGACTGCACAATAGTTCATACAACCGGGGCTCCGTTACTAATTCGGTCGCGTAGAAGGCAATCCCCAAATCATCCCTGTCGGAGAGGCAATTTCAGTGTGAACCTTGTACAACGTGGAACGTACGTTGTAGTGGTGTGGACGCTAATGGTAGATCCTGGGTGATCGACCGTGTGATTCTCACGGTCCTGTTGTTTCATGCCGGCAATTGTTTCTTCCCTTGTGCGGGGATTGGGTAGGAAAGGGGTGTATGTGTTGAGCTCATTATTATGAAAGCATTACCCCGTACGCCATTGGATTGGTAGAGAGGGCTTTTAGTGACTAGAATGGTAGATCATACTACCGTTGCATTCCAGCCTATTACTCTTTGGGGGGGGGGTCTGGGGCCTGTTGGCGGTTATACGTACATCCTTGTACTAGTTCACCTCGCCACACCATGATCCGTTGGGTCTACATATGCATTTGGGTAGCATATATTATTGGATATAGGTCCGGCTTGGGGTCCCGTCTTTATGGTATTGGCTATCCTGCGCCGCATTCCATGAGGATCGGAGCCTTGCTCAAGTAAGACAAGTACAAGTGGAAAGGGCTTGCATTGTACATTTTCTCTATTAGTTATAGTTTTGTAACTAATTAGTTAGTTAGCTACAAGGTACAAGGTACAAGGTACATGTTCTCAATAATATGTCCAGGCTGCATAGGCAGTCTGCAATGATATACAAACATACAAGTCACCAGGCCGTCCAGATCTGAATATACCGGGTGTGGCCGAGATTGTGTGACCCTGCGATGCTACGATCTGAAATCTCGCTGTCGTGGCACTTCACAATATATGCGATATTTGATTTACGTTTTTTCTTTGTCTTTGACCTTGATGGAGTAGTGAGACCTTAAGCCACGTTATTGGGGGCCGTTGAAAAGGATCAAGCAGCAGAGTGACCAATGCGTTGATCTGAGTCTGGGGGCCGTGCATGACTCCCCAAGCGCTACGATGCATCACCTGGCTTCGTATTGAAACATGATGTATCGTGTAGGCAAGAAGACAAGTGACGCATTACATAGGGCTTACCAACCTTTCAACGTTGGAAAGCGCAGGTGGAAATAAGAGTTTAGTAAGCCAATTTGGTGAATCGGTGAAATGACAAGTGACCAAGTGGGTAAAAGAAAAAGAAAAGAAAAAC